CATAGCAACAATTAGCATTGACACTTTGAGGTACAAGTGTTGTCGTAGTAATAATTTGTAGTAATATAATCTACTATCAAAAAACCAATTAATGATTTTAATTGTAATATATTATTATATAAATTTATTTTGAACTAGCTGTACCCGCAACTACGTCCGCGTGCATTTCTAAAATAAAAGTAGCTTAAGTTACTCCTTACTACATCAGCTACCTGTCCATATATCTATATATAAAAGTCCCGTCAAAATCGGTCCAGACATTTCAGAGATTAGCAGAAACAAACAGACAAACAGAGAGACAAAAAATGGTTAAAAATTATATTTTGGTGTATGTACCGTATTTATATTCATATGTATGTAGTAAAAAACGGTTATTTCAATATTACAAACAGACACTCCAATTTTATTTATATGTATAGACTAGTGGCGCCCGTATGTTCGTGTTTGTGTTTGTTATTGTTACAATCAAATGATAACAACTATTTGTACATACAACGCCATCTATTACTGTATTAAAGAATTAATTGATTAAATATTAGAAACTATTCACAAAATATTTTTTTAAGAGAAATTCCACACAAGGGGATGACCCCTTGTGTGGTATTTCTCTTAACTCTATATAGATCATATACTGACTTATATTTAACAACTGTTCTGTGAAATAACAATCTAATTCGTCGAGCTATTTTTACGTGAAACCTTAACACGCAAACAGATAAATTAACAAAAAGTTTTCGACTTTACACAGTTTTACGATTTTCTTAAGGTAATACAGGTAAGTAATATTTCTTACTTTATTCCGACTGTCGTCATCAAAGTTCGTTTTCTAAGCTTTACTTTTTTTTGCCACTTACACACCTCATTTTTTTTATCGCTTTCCTTACTGCTAGCTAGCTACTTCGGTTGAAAAGAACTGGCAAGAAACTAGCAATAAAAGTTGGTACTCGTACATTATTTTTTTATATAACTTTGTTTATAGGTATCAGCTCTTTATACTCCATTTTTTTCCTTACTGTCCAGCTAGCTACTTCGGTTGAAAAGAACTGGCAATGAACTGGCAATAAAAGTTGGTACTCATACATTATTTTTTATATAAATCTGTTTATAGGTATCAGCTCTTTATACTGCATTTTTTTCTTCACTGTCCAGCTTGCTACTTCGATCGAAAAGAACCGGCAAGAAACTGTCAATAAAAGTTGTTACTCGTACATTCCTTTTTTATATAAGTGTGTTTATAGGTATCCCTATAAACAAACTTATATAAAAAAAGAATTAATAAAACGTCCCTCGCCTTTAATAAAACGTCTTTTTTGAGGTTTACTTGAATAGTAAATTTAATAAACTATAATATTATCGTCTTTTAAATATGTTTTTTATTATTCCTTCTTTGGTAGTGTGTAGTTGTAAAGACTAAGCACATTACTGTCGATCAAAACTAAAGTAAATTTTCTTTTAAAAAAGCAATTTTTTTAAGATTAAATCTCATTCGTATTATTATGAATCTGCTTTCCGAATGAGTAGTAGAATAAAAAAAGAAATCTGTTTAAAAATGCTTATATTAAGTTTATTTGAGTAAAGATATCTTTTGACGGCCTCGGTGGTCTAGCGGTTTGGCACACCGCTTTACTTTCGTTGGTCTCGGGTTCGATTTCTCTAACGGTATAAACATTTGGATTCATGAGTATATACTTGTTTGTATCAGTCTGGATGTTTTCTATGTATATTATGTGTGTTTTACAAAAAAAAACTATGTATTTACAACAGATGTCTAGTATCCATAACACAAGCTCTGTTAGCTCGGGACTAGATGGCGTTGTGTTATTATTTATTTATTTAAAGATTATTTCTATTTCTAAAGTGGCGTATGTCTTGTTTGTTATTTGACGAAATTATCTATAGGAAGGAAAAACGTATCTAACATATTAATGTTTAAAACAATAAATAAAATAATAAAAACAAAGTTCTTATCACTAATTTTGCGTGTCATGATGAGAAACATTAATGTAATAAAATTATGCAAAGTAATGATTACTTTCAAAGTTACAAATTTATCTGACGACCTTATTTTTAACATTCTAAGTTGTAAATGGACAAACAAACAAAGGCTTCTATCTTATGATACCCTTTTGTTTACTGGCTTAAAGACGAAGAATTGAACAAGTCATTGTTTATTCCAAATGAAACAATGTTTTGCGAAGTTGGACAATGTCAGACCATTTCAGACCATTTCAGGAGTTAAAAATAAAGCATATTAAAATAATTGATACGTCAATCAAAAATAACTGGGATAAGGAAGAATAGTAGATGATGATGACTAAACTAGTGATCGCATAGTGTTAGAAATTCGATCATAATTAATTTAAATTACAAGATTGAACATTACGAGGATTCTATTGTCAAAGACTATATTTCATAAATCATAGAAAATGGCTATAAAGAAAAAATTATATATGCGTATGTGTGTGAAATACTTACTTCCTTACTAATATGATAAATGCGAAAGTAACTCTGTCTGTCTGTCGTATGTCTCGCTTTCACGCCAAAACCACTAAACAGCTTTAAATGAAATTTGGTATACATATAGTCTAGACTCTGAGAAAGGACATAGGTTACATTTTTATGCCAAAAAAGGGTTGTAAGGGGTTAAAATGGGAGATGATAGTTTGTATGGAAAATCGTCACTTTTAAAGCTAGAAAGATAAAACTTTTTTTTTGCTATTTTCTGGTTAGATTATTGAATATTATTTCATTATTTGGTCAAGGTCACTATAACATGCGGACGAAGTCGCGGGCACAGCTACGAATATAAATATTGTTTTATTGATTTAACGTATTTTTTATTTATAAATGTAAAATAATATTAGCATTCTTTCTCCTTCTCTATATAAAGTATAAGTGAGCGAAATTTTATATTCCTCCGCCCCGCAATATTCATAAAAAAACAACACACAAACACAAAGTTTTTACTTTGCGTAATAATATCTTCATCATCATCATTATCATCTCAGCTCGGAAGACGTCCACTGCTGAACAAAGACCTCCCCCAAATAATATATAGATTAAATAAATTATGAACAGTTACATATTAAAAATATCATAATTATATAAAAAGATCAACGGGTTGCATCAATACTAATTTACTGTTAAAAAAATTAGAAATACCTACAACAAACAGGGATGAATGGCAGTAATTGTTAAAGTATTTGCGGATTGTATACGAATAAATAAAAATGAAGATAAAAATAATCTACTAAAATATTAGATTGTGCGTCTGTTCTAGGCAACTGTTTTGCCGCGGATGACAATGATATGGCTGTATTGAATAATTTTGCGTTTTTTTTCTTTTGTAATAGCTTGGCACTATGGTGCATTTGCCAACATCAAAAAAATTTGCATTGATAATAAGTGGAAATTGTCTTAACTATCACATACATAAACAGAACCACGTCTTTTCATGTAATGCTCAGATAAGTTTAGGCTACTATTTCTGAGATCTATGATGATGTATATTGACGGCCTCAGTGTTCTAACTGTTTTAGCACACTGCCTTACTACCGACGGCCGCAGGTTCGATTCCTCACAAGGTACAAATATTTGTATTCATGAGTTTGATTGTTTGTATTGGTCTAGGTGTTTTCTTCTGTATTAAGTACTTACAAAAAGGTATCTACGTATTTACATCAGTTGTCTAATACTCATCATAACACAAGCTCACAGCAAGCTTCAGCACCGAAACCATCCACATTACATACATCATCATCATCATCATCATCGAAGCCCGGAAGACGTCCACTGCTGGACATAGGCCTCCCCCAAAGATCTCCACGACGATCGGTCCTGCGCTGCTCGCATCCAATGCCTCCCAGCGATCTTGACCAGATCGTCGGTCCACCTTGCTGGAGGCCTTCCCACGCTGCGTCTTCCGGTCCGTGGTCGCCACTCGAGGAGTTTACTGCCCCAACGGCTATCTGTCCTACGAGCTATGTGCCCTGCCCATTGCCACTTCAGAGTCGCAATTCTTCGGGCTATGTCGGTCACTCTGGTTCTTCTGCGGATCTCCTCATTTCTGATTCGATCACGCAGAGTAACTCCGAGCATAGCCCTCTCCATTGCCCTCTGAGTGACTCTGAGCTTGTTGATGGGGCCCATAGTTAGAGACTACGTCGGCAAATCGAAGGTGATTAATGTACTCGCCGTAAATGTTGATGCCCAGCCCACTCCAGTCCAGAAGCTTGAAGACATCAGCGGTACCGCTGCGTTGGAAGATTACATACATACATTATGTAAATATCATTATTATTTTTACTGTTGTTAATGGCGACCTACGTCTCCTTCGCACAAATGCACATTATAGTTACATATGATATGACAGAGGTAGTAAAAAAAAGTTAGTAGTAGTAAAACAGTCTCGGTGGGCTCGCGGTTTAGCACACCGCTTTACTTCTATTGGCCCCGGGTTCGATTCCTCGCACGGTGCAAACATTTGTATTCATGAGTACGATTGTTTGTATTGGTATGGGTGTATTCTATATGTATTATGTATGTATGTGCAAAAAAATGTAGGTCTAGTACTTTATGAGTACAAGTTTTGCTTACCGTGAGACTAGATGCCGCTGTGTTAATTGTTTAGGGTTATTTATTTATTATCTATATATATATATACATAACTTCGGAATATATCTTTAAGAAACTCTCGAAAAGATAGTGAATATTGCATCGAAATCAGTTGCACGATTTTGAAGAGATAAGCGGGAAATACAAAAACATAGATTTTCCTTCATACTATATTTTTTATTTAGGAACATTATTTTTAATAATTAGCTTTTCCTTTTTATGATTCTTTAATAGAGACAAGCTTAATATTTCTTAACAATATTCGTGATAGTGTCATACTGTTTTATTTGTGATTTTTAAGTTATAATGAAAATATGTAAATTAAAGTAGTTCATAGCAAAAACAGATTTATTTCTTATGAATAAAATACATTATTGTTCTTATTTCTATGATCTGATTTTTAATCGCACCCAGTGTCCCCCTTTGATCCGCAAGTTGAATGTGTCTGTGGCGAGCTGGGACGACACACATGTCTTCTCACACGGCGATACCTCCATGTGTTGCAGTAGCTGGTACAGCATCACTTTCACCTCGCACAGAGCGAATCTCGAACCTGGTGATACAGAAATAGAAATTCAGTAAGAATTGTGTGACTGGAGCGAGAACACAACTACTATTTTAATTAAAATTCAAATGTATATTAAAATCCAAAGGGGCTCACAGCGAGAAGAAAGAGTAACAAACAATTAGTCAAAAGTGACATATAAAAAATAGATCAAAAATATAAAGTTTATAAAAAGAATGGTAGACAAGCAAGCAACAACTTGATGATCATTGGAATAATCATTCCATCTGCTACAAACATTTATTACTATATTATAGATATTAATCAAAATACAAAATTCTATATTTGATGCAATATATTTATTCAATAAAATAGGAGAAAAAGGAACTTGCGACTCCTCTGATAGTAAGTGTTTACTGACCCATGAGCACTCCAGAGTTATTAAAAGTACGTTGTCCGTCTTTTAAGAAGGAGTAAACTCTTTTCTAGAAGGTTTCAATATTGTTTCAGTTCAAATATACCATTGCAAAATATCAAATTATGCTTGTACTTGGAGAAAGATCACTCTTTGTAAACAGTTTATGGAAATTTCCAAAAACTTTTTGCAAAAACTCATCTGCGTTAGTATTTTCCTCTACTACAAAGCGGACATATAAATTGGACGGTATATTGTATTAAAGAATAAGATAAAAAGACTTATCTAGAAATGTATAATGTTCTAACATTCTCACCTATACAATTCCTGGGACCCAATCCGAATGGCATATACGATAGAGGTTGTATTTTGTCCTTGTTCTCCTCGGAGAATCTTTCTGGATCAAACTTCAAGGGGTTAGGGAATAATTCCGGATCCCGGTGGAAGGAGAATGTTGGAATCAGAATAGCTTCGCCTTTTCGTAACTATGAAAAAAAAAACATAAATTTATGAATAATATAGAACTATTACCTATAAAATTAAATTGATAAAGATGAAAAATTTATGGTCTAAATCCATATACATATACGGTAGTTACATAAAAAAATATTTCAAAAACTTTTGTCAAACAGGGAGGCATGTTTGTTTTTGTTGTTCTTTGAAATGCCTGGATCAATAAGTAAGTAGTAAATTAAGGCTACTTTCATTTTACATTTTTTTTATCTTACGTCAACTAATTTGCAGGTATAATATATGAATACATATACTTACAATATAGTCTTCGGTAGCTTTACTGTTGGGTTTGCCTAAATTGTAATCTTTGGTGCATATCCTGTCAAGACGAACTAAGGGTGGCCATAATCTCAGCACCTCTGAAGAAATAACAAATTCTATATTAATCTAGATCATAATAATTACACAGTAATTAAGTCTAAAGAGGTCGGCAATATAGTGGAAACAATGAATGAAGCCTCATAAATGATTTATTTAACGCCATGCAGTATTAATTATTAATTTAATTGAACAGAGATAAATCTCTGGTCCCACTGATTATTTTAATTAAGTGATATAATTAAAGAATCCCAATTAAGTTAGCCATTAAGTGAAATGAAAAGCTTAAGTTATAGAAGTTCAAGAAAGGTATTATATATTCTTTCTTCAGAGAATATAGTAAATTAGTAATTTAGAGACAATGAGAGCACAGGTTGACTTATCCCTAGAAAAGATTTCTTCCAGTCAACCAAAAACGGATTTCTTATTAAATAACAAAAACCATTTTTACCTGAAACTACCATATCCATATACGGCATATTCTGGATGGATTTGTAGTCGAATTTCCCACCGTTTCTGATTTCATTCTCTTTTATCTCCTGTACCAGTTTATCTTGTATTTCAGGATTGAGAGCCAACTCGTGTAGGGCAAACGACATCGCTGAGGATACAGTCTCGAAGCCAGCGATGAAGAATAAAACAGCTTGAGCCACTAAATCGGTGTCAGTCCATACTTTTGAACAAAAAACATAATTAATATAATTATCTATATATTATGTTATGTATCTAAACAAAGTATTTGCATTAGCTAGTTAATGGGACTGGGGTGCTCGTCTTGAGTAGAGCTAGGGTGCTTCGGTGGGAGGCAGCGCCCCAATCGAATGGTCTAGAGCCATCCGCGTGTACCCAGACGCTTCCAAAATTAAGTAGGACGAAGTAGGTCGCCCTAATAATGAGAAGGGGTCTGCCCTACATCATCTACAGGGCGAGCCAACGCCACCGGAGCTGCGGTAGCTAGTAACGCGACCACGAGACTCCGGTAATGGCGCTCGTAGGTAAACGCGCGGTTTATTAGTGGGTAAGAATCTCACATACCTATCACTCCTCTAGCGGAGGTACGATTTTCTGAAGATTTTTTCACATGATAAAAAATGCTATTCATAGTAACTAGTACAAAGTCAATAACTGTTGCTGCAATAAATGTACTACGGCATTGTAGATAATTTCTTTAGCTTCTCTAAACCTTATGTAGCTTGGTCTATTTTACTAGCAAGAGATTGAAGCATTAATATAGGATATTAATACTTCAATCTCTTTATACCTATTACATTTTTATTTCATTTTGATATACCATGCTCATTTCATTACTGTCTCAAATAATCAATTCCTTTATCTGACAATGTTTTACTAAAATAGTGATTGTTAAATATGAATCTTTCATTTCCAGTATAAGAATTAATAGATTTGTATAAATAGGTAGGTATTATATTTTTAAGTTTATAAGACATTTACATATATTACTACTTACCTCTGTCTATAACTTTCTTTCCAACTGACGATTCTTCAACTGTAGCAAAGCCTGCATTTGTGTCTTGTACCATTTTATCATCGTATTTTAATTTTCCTATAAAGTAAGCGATATAATTAGAATACTTCCTGTAATTTTAAGGGTAGGATTCCCCTTTTAAATAAGAATATACAATAGTTTCAATATTTTTTATGTCTGTATATTCATACACTATTAACAATGCAAATTGAACTGTCTTACACGTATTAAACAATTATTTATTCTGGTGATCGCCCAGGGGTCGAAATTCGACTACATATATTTAATTTCAGATTTAGTAAGAGTATAGAGTATACAAATGAAATAAAAGATGAAGAAAATTCTCAATTTGACCATAGACTTCAACAATAAACAAAAGTATATATGGGTATGAGTGTCAAATAAATAAGTGTGTAATGTAATTTTATGTATGTAGTATTACTAATCAGCACTTCCTGTATCTATATGTGTGTGAAATTTCATACTCCTCCTACTGCGTACAAAGTGGTACAAATAATATATTGATTATTACGGTTGATTGTTATTTACCATAAAATTATTCATATTGACCCGGTTAACCATAGAAATAATATGTATAAAATACGAACGTTTAATAATAAGTATATAGTAAGCAAATATATAAAAAAAATTCTACGAGAATCAAAATATCATTACACAGCGCTATTATTTTTCCGAACTGTTCTAATGCTGTGGCTGGACTTTTTGCTTCACAGCGCGACAATGAAGGCGGAAGCCAGTCCTTGCAAAGTCCGTGGAACTTTGTGAGGGGCTTGTAGCCAACTCCTACTTGACAGAAACCTAGAGTAAATAGATACAATTCTTCAGTACCAATAAAACAAGTTACACTACTTACTTTGGTTTAACTAGTTTAGTTTAGTAGATAACGATGTATTACTGTGTATGTCCCTTATATTTTAGGTTTATTTAAATACAAATTGCTTTACAAGTTTCAACAAGGTTCTTTGTTGTATTTACTAAGTTAAATATACTTTAATGGCTACCTGCCCCACCTTCGCACGGGTGTTCATGTATTATGCCTATCCCTCGAATCACTCTCTCTATTGCGAAAAAGTGCATTAAAATCCGTTACGTATTTAAAATATCTAAGCGTACAGACAATAAGGTATAATGGTATTAACATTATGATATTATGATAAAAATCCCTAGATGGATATAATATTAAAAAATTACACATACACTTTATATTCATACCTTTTTGGGCTTCCATTAGTAGATGTATCATATCCGGTCTGATAATTTTTTGGTCTTTTCGATTTTTCATTGTACCGAGTACCAGATTTTTAAAGAAGTTTGTCGTAGCTTTGCTGATTGGCGATAATTTTATTTTCTGCAACGACAACACAAAATTATGAATAGTACAATGACTTATTAAATATATTAAAGATCCAGATTTCTTCAAAGCTTAATTATTACTTTATTGAGATATATTATATTTTGATTACTACACAGCAATTGTGCTACCATTGCTGTGAAGATCACAAATATTAGTATAATATTAAAATATAATAGTGCGAAAATTTGTCTACTACTTTTGGAAGTATTGCAGCCTTTTCAGTCCGTGATCAAATACCGACCTTTAATGAACCTACACGCATATTGCGACTCGCTTTTTGCCTCTGAAAGAGGCATCATCAGGCAATAGGGATCAAGAATAGAGGTCGATCGAATATAGTTTGAAAACATAATCTTGAGTGTTCGGCGAATAAACTACGACTGTTAGTCAATTAATAAAAGTGTTATACAATAAATTGAATCACTTACCGCCATTAACTTTGGAAAGGAGATCAAAAGAAAGAATTTCAGAATTGCAATAAATCCGAATGTGGCGGCGGATTTCCCCTTCTGATAGAACTCGTTTCGTTCGTCCATGTGCGAGTCTACTTTGAGTCCGAAAGCACAAGAGGCGATGACGTCATTGGCATATCGGGTCGTCAGATCTTTAGCCTCAATGTCGACGTAGTTGACTAAACAGGTAATAAAGATATATATATGTCGCAGAATCAACAAAGAGGCTCAATTGATTGATTTCTACTAGAATAGCGCCATCTATTATCGTTGTTGGAAACGTCAAGCGGTTTGCTTGGGTGAGGTCGGTACAGGGTAAAGCAGTTTTAACAGCAATTACGGAACGGCACTTTTGAATTGGGCGCGAGCGTGAGAGGTGCTGTATTCTGTACCGAACTTGCCGCGTTTCCCTGAATAATCCGTTGTCATCGGATTGATTGTTAGTGATTTTATTATTTTGTTATTGGGAGTGAGTGAATAGACGATTAGATTTTGCTGCTATTATTTCTTGCCTACACCATGCACAACAGGGGTTCTGGTGACGAGGTATCCCAAATAGAGGAACTACCCTCGTTATATACATTAAAAAATCATAAATCGGTAAGAAGTTTGTATTTATAAGGAATAATAATAAAAAGATGTTCGAACAATGATTTATTTACACTAATCACATCTGAATTAAATTTGACGCAAAATAATATTTTAAAACTATAGAATCATAGTTGAAAAACTTTAGTAATAATAATGTCTCGGAACAACTCCCACAGCGCAATATAAACTAAAGTGACCTTGTGTTGTAGGTACTAGATGACTTATCTTTTGTAAATATATTCTTAATATACATACAAAATACACAGACCGATACTAACAATCATACTCATGAATACGAATGTTTGTACCGTGCGGGTAATCGAACCCCCAACCAAAGGGAGTAAAGACCAGCGTTGCTGCCAATAAGCTAGTTAATTATACTAACAATACCTCCTGAACCTCGGATTTTAGTTTTAAGAGCTTGCATCATTTGATCACCAACTTCTACCATGAATGGTACCATAATCCGTATCTTCGAACTGGTGAATGCTGGACTCAGAGATGCACGCATATCCTTCCACTCTTGACCTTTAAAAAACAATTCATCTAATGATCTTATTGTTACAAATATAAGTAAAGAAGAAAATGCTGAACTATCCCAATTTCTTTCGTCAATCTTAAATATATTGAAAACAGAATTTAGACCGAAATCAGAGAAATTTGCGGAAAGAATAAATAATTTAATTTCAGGTAAATGTTAATACATATAAGTTATTTACTCATACTACCCGCCCCGGCTTCGCACGCACGTACATGTATTCTACATATTTCCTCTTGAATCTATATATTGTTAAACAATTCCATTAAAATCCGTAAAGTAGTTTACACGATCTAAGCGAGCAGATAGTGGAAGCGACTTCATTTTAGACTATGTAAAAATTCTGGATGCATCTATATATGTACGAGTATGTATCAAATTTTTGGACCTAGGCACACTCTCAGTTCAGCAATACTATCTTATCTGCGTTTCAACTGGTCTCAGTTGTAAAGTACTGCCTATTACTACAGTATACTATTTAGTAGCCATTGAAATATTCTTTATTATTTTCACATAATAAATAAAGAACTAACATGCTCACTGTTATGATCCTAAGCTCCTAAATAAATAAAAAGTAAAGTCAAAATAATATAATGGGGACTAACCTTTCAATAAGATCAAAGTTCTTCCAAACACTGGATCTACACTTGCATCCACCAATGTTGTGTGATCCAAAAAATATTCGAAGTCCTTAATAGCTATTTTCTTGACCAATTCAAGATCCTTCACCATTAGCACCGGCTTCACAAAGTCATATCTTCCCACAAATCTACAAACATTTATAATTTTAACAAACTGCTGCAAAATGGTGAATAAACGGTTGTAAATAAAACGATGAAAGTTTTATTTATAACTGTTCATTCAGTATTTAGACGAGTACAAACCACCTAGATCCGTACAACTAACTACTTGTTACACTATCGGCATGGATACAGTGGTTGTTCTTGGAAAGTATGTCCCAATACGTTCCAATAGTTGATGACTGACTCAAAAGAACGGCACAGGATAGCAGGTGGACGGTTAGTCCCGAACGCGAATAGGTTAATATTAAGCTGAATCAATCGAGATTCCTAATTGTAATTAAAATGAAATAAATAAGTTGACTGAACTTTATTTTTCTTTTAAAAAACCCATCATTGACCGTCAGAATGTAATTTGTTTCAAACTACAAAACAATCTAGTCAAAGTATTTTCATTTAAATTTATACATTAAATTCATTAATTTGCTAATAAAACATTAGGGGTTATAGTATGAAATTATACTAATATTTTATTACACACCCGACTATGAAGGTTTTAAGTCAATTCAAATTCTCTATGACCATAGAACGGCAATTTCATACTTTAACCCCTATTATTTAAGAGCCTAAACATAGACCTCCAAAGTAATAAAAATATTTTTGCGTCTCCAGTAAAAATAAGCATAAATCAAGTTATAGCCACTTTCCTTTATAGGTAAAAATTAAAAATTCCGATTTCGATGAAGATGAAGTTTTAGTTAGAAATAGAACGTAGTATTTTTCAATAATAGCGACAAAAGTAAATAAGTCACTTACGACTAACATACAATTTTAGTATTTTTTAATAAATACTAACCCGCATGTGTAGTCCGTGTGTTATTCTGATGTATGAGCTACATTACTGTAAAAGTTCATCAAAAATCTATCGCTAGTTTTTGCGTATAAGAGTACCAATCATTAATAAATTTATCTATCCATCCATACTCACAAACTTTCGCATTTATAATCTTAGTAAGATAGTATCACTATAATTAGTTATTCATTCATATTTAATGACATACATAAACTAATAATATCTATGTATAACAAAAAAGCCGACACATTAAAAAAAATGGACGAATCGCGTCTCCAATAAAATAAATATTTTTCAATTCGGTTTATAAATGACAGAGTTATAAAGTATCAAATATTTAAAAAAATACAGCCAAATTGAGAGCCTGCTTCTTTCTGGTAGTCGTTGACAATAGAAATAAATCCTCACCTTTCCTCCGAAAAATGATCGTAGTTTCTTTGGATGGCATCAGTCAAATGTTCAATGCGCAGTAAAATCCTTCCCATGTTACCCGCAACCGGGATTGGGCTGAAGTGCTTTACCCCATACTTGGAGAATCTGGAGTACACTTGTTTATAATACAGCGCCAAGGTTGCTACGACCACCACAAACCAGACGAGGTACAACAACATCTAAAAGTGTTAAAGTTTACATCAATATTGTAGAAAAATCCGATATTTTAAAATGATATTAAAAGAAGGTAGTTTGTATTTAGTACTAATGAAGTACTCAATATAAAGATTATTATAAATATTGTAAATAACGCCATCTAGTATTATAGACCGAACTAAGTTATTTGTCATAAGATATTCATTACCCCCGCTTCTCTTCCTACTATACTGACTTCGGTCTGTAAATAATGAGGTCGGTACTTGAATAATCCCCCCTCCAATCGATCCCTCGTCCAATTCAATCGGGGATCGATATTATGACGACCGGAGCCGAAGTTCGAACCCCTAGCGGTGTCCTCAGATTAAAGTCGTATTCGTCAGGCGGGAGTTGACCTTCAGCCGCTCCATAAGTTCTTCCGCGGGTTTGATGTGCCATCTGCACTCTCCGATAGGGGTATCGGCCGGTGAAGCTGTAAAGGCCAGCTGCGGCAAACAGCATTAGAGTAGTCAAAAAAAATTTAATAATCCTCTTTCGTTGGATGAGCCACGGCATTCAGTTAATGAGCGCAGGGTGTGCCGGTTGTGTTTTGGATACTAAAGTGAATTGCATTAGAAATAGGTTTATCCCGGTTTTAGTTGGGTCTGTGGGGAATCTGCAAGTAGTGAAGGTGAGTGTTAATGCATTCTAAAAGTACCTTTTAAACCTAACCTAAACAAGTTACGGGCGCTACTTGGGTTTTCCCTTGCGGTAGCCGGCTTCAAAGCCTAAGTCGTCATCATTTATTAATGGTTCTTATAAAAGGAAATAAGATTTTTTTTGTAATTGGAAAGGCAAATATGCTCATGGTAAGTGGTAATCGTCGCCTACCTACATGAACTCTTATCCTGTAATACCGTATTTTTTTCGGACTACTCTAATGCAGTTGGCGGGAACATTACATAAACTACCTATGTGTTTGACACGCATAGAAGTATGGTCTTTGACAATAGAAACTTAATAATGTTTGAATTAAAATGTATATTTATAACTTAAAATGTGGAAGATATGTGGTTTTTAAGGACTTTCCTATTAGTTACACGCATTTTTATATTTCTGACATGCAACAAACAAAACAAATGTCAATTTTGGTTATTCCTACTATAGTGAGTCAATATACGTTATATATATTATTTATAATAAGAACACGTCAACTTCTTATTAATGAAATATTCATAAATGTCAATGTTTTTAATTAAGTAAGTACTCTTGAATATCGTAGTAAGATTTGCTAATTCATCTTGTCATCTATACGATGGTATGATGGATGCATCTATGTAGTTATTTCTTGAACTTATTTTTAGTTAAATTTACAATCTCACTTGGTAATTTATTATATATTTTAATCGCCGTGGCCTGACAGTTTGAGATGCATAATGACGTCTTTATGGATGGTAACATCAATTTGTCTAAATATCTTGTACAGTATTTACCGGAAATATCTCGTTTCCGTTAGAACAGTTCGGGATGCAGTCTTACAAATTAGCATGTTTCCTAGATATACATACAAGGTAAAGTCAATCGGTCTTATTACAAAAAATCTGTTAAAACTCGGACGAAACGTGGTCTAAATGGTCGTGGTTTAAACCATTCCTAAAGTTAATACTTGGAATAAACCTAATATTATTACGAATCCAGATCTAACAGAGGACTACTTAGTACTACAGTTAAATCGTTCATTATGTATTCCATACAGAAATCAGTCACTCATGTCTGTCACCGTACAATTACGTTCCATTTTACCAGAAAACTGAAAAGATCAAAAATAATATTAGTTCAAAGAAAAATGTATAAACTAAAAATAAATTTATTTCTATTTATCTATGTCTTCATTATAACTATTTCATTAATATATAATATTTATTAATGTACTATTAGGCTGAAAATCAGTTTTAAATTACAAGTAGGAGTCCTATACGGAGAAAAGGAACGGCGAGATATTTTTATTGGATCGTTCGAATGATGACTATTTCAAAGTCAAATGAGTGAAAAAATAACAATTAACGTCTTTTATATGTTTTTATTGTCGTAAAATTTGCTTTAAATGTTTTTAGTTAATATATTTTTAATTTAGTTAAAATATTTTTCCAAAAACTACAACTAACAATAGAATTTTTAAAATGGAGTTTGTATTTTTGCATTTAGACCACTGTTAAACTAGGGGCATCGCAGGTCTAACTTTAGACCATAGACGAATCACGATTTAGAGATAAACTTCATTTTGTAATAAGGAATACATTGGTGAATGGTTTATTACTAGTGCTAAACCAGATTTATCTTTTTGTAATAAGGCCGTTTGAAACAATGGCTTAAAACTTGTTCTGACGAGACGTCAAAAATAGCTCGTAGGCGTCTCTGTTGACAGATAAAGACTCTATATATTTCTACAGAGTTACCCTACGAAACCAATCCATATCTTAACCTGGAAACAATATAGCCCTGATAAACATGTTGGTATAGCTGTTTTTCTACTAGTAACCTTTGTTAAACCGTCATAAAGCGTAACTGAATCTGTTTATTTTATTACTATCTAGTTGTACTTTAAATAGAAACTTAATTAGTTAGTATGTAAATAGTAACTTACATTTAAGTATTCCCACTTAACAATATCAATTTTATAAACATAAGTTGTAAGTTTAATTAATCATGTAATAATTTACAGCACCTGTAGTGTCGCTTAAAGCAACAACTGTACTGCGCGACGTAGTACGCAACTGTCCATTACATAGTGGCTGTTATTGTTGTATCTACATGTGATAAAAGGTAATCAGTCACAGAGTGTATTTGTGATAAGAATCAAATAGATTAATATTATTATGTTTAATTCGGATTATTATCCTTATTGCTAACTGTGTAGTTATGTTTTCACTTGGTTCCAAACACTATTGCATTCAGTTTGTAATTAATTTTTATTATAAACTAGCTGTACACGCGTCTTCGTCCGCGAGGATTTAACTTTATTGTTCTAAAATAAAAGTAGCTTAAGTTACTCCTTATTATAACAGCTACCTGCCTATAAAAGTCCTCACTAACTCGTTATTATTACTATTATGGTCATTTTTTTTCTCTTTATTGATTTAGTTGCACAGACTAAGCACATTACAGTTACAGATCAATACTAAAGTAACTGTAAATTTACTTATTCAAAAAGCAACACGCAAGATTAAATCTTATTGTTATGAATCTCTTATCTGAATGAGTAGTAGAGTAAAAAAATAAGACTATTTAAAAGTGCTTATATTTTGTTTATTTGAGTAAAAATTATTTCTATTTGTAGAAGTGGCGTATATCTTGGTTGATAATAAACGAAATTATCTATAGGTAGGAAAAACTTATTAATACTTAAAAACAACAATAAAAACAAAGTTGTTATCACTAAATTTGAGTGTCATGATGAGAAACGTTAATATAACACACACACATACATTAGTATTATGCAAAGTAATGATTACTTTGAAAGTTATTTTCCAGGCATTAGCGAAAGTACTAGTTTTAAGAGATAAGTTAACTATGTCAGTTTCTACTTGTAAAGTTCTAGGTAGAGTTAACAATACCATTATTGGTATTTAGGGAAATACCATCTGATCCTATCGCGTTTGATATTATAGATTTAATAATTTTTAATATGATATTTGGTCACACTAATTTGAATTTAAACAGTGGAATTGAAACGGTTTAAAGCAAACTGTAAATAATTAGAAATATCAGGAACATTATTATCAGGTAAGTCAAGAAAAAACTCATTTAGGGCATATCCAGATGCCCTAAATGAGTTTTTTCTTGACTTATACATACTAACTTAAACACTACTACACTTAAACATAGTGGCAGTTCTTTTACTTTAGTTTTAAAATTACCAACATTATTTTTAGAACTGTTTTTGTTTTTATTTATATATTGATTAAAGTACGCAGATTTTTAACGATGTAAGGCAGTATTAACATTACGTTTTAACTGTTTATAGTATTCTTTATGAACTCAATTTAGTTTTAAAACTTCTAATATAAGCTCTATCACGTAACTTCATCATTAGTTTAATTGTATCTGTTATCCAGGGGTTTGTATAGCCCTTAACAAAAAATGTCTTAAAAGGAGCATATCTATCAAATAAATAAATTATTTCTATTAGATTGTTCGGAAAGTACATTCGTGTTTTCCTAACTTAGGATTTAATTGTATTTTTTGCACTCAACTTCACACTTAAGCCGTATAATTTTTATATGCTTTGAGAGCTCATATAGCAAGGTTTGTGTGTGAAAAAGTTCAATTAATTCTACGCAGTAGTTTTTGGTTGGTACCCTTTTAAATATGGAGAGGAATGAGCAGCATTTTCGACATATCTTACTGTTTTAAAGGGCAAACATGCTGTTCAAGCCAGAAAGAAATTGACCGATGTGTGTGGATAGGTGTGTTAACAGTACGCCAGTGCCAGAACTGGTTCGCTAAATTTCGATCCGGCAATTTTGATGTCGAAGATGCACCACCCTCGGGAAGGCCGGTTGAAGCTGATAAAGGCATTGGTTGATGCGAACCGGCGAATAACAACACTTATAACCTCCCAGGCCTTTCAAGTGGTTTTTATATTATTTACATCCATTCTTTCGTACGTAAATATTAACACTTACTTATTTTTATTGCGTATGGTTTTCAAGACTCCTGTTGCATACTCTAAAAATATTTTTCTATCACATTTATCTGTCATTGGTTTTGAGAAATTTTCTAATTTAATTTCTATATCTAGTAAATTTTAATAATGAAATCTTTTTCTATTAAACATGGGGCATTCCGTTATGACATGTATCACAGACTGCGTTGTTTCATCGTCACACGGACAGTGATCGGAGTCTATTATCTTAAATCTGTGCAGGTACGATCTATTTCCTCCTGGTCCATTACTATTATTCTAGATAGGCAACGCACTTGCAATTCCCCTGGTGTTGTGGATGCTTATGGGAGGCGGTAATGATTTAAATCATTAAAGAATTTACCATCAGGTGAACCTCAAACTCGTTTGTCCCCTACACATTTAAAAAAAAATCAGAAGCATTATGAAAGGTCGACATGAAGAAAGCAATACTTGATATTTATAATGACTGCCTCGGTGGTCTAGCGATTTCACACAGAGCCTTACTTCTGATGGTCACGAGTTCGATTCCTCGCACGACGGTAAGCATTTGTATGTAAAAGTATGATTCTTACTATTAGTCTGGGTGTTTTCTAGATATGAAGTAAGTACATAGAAAACATTTAATATTTAAAAAAAAATGTTAACATTCTGTATTCCTTCTCTGTATATACTACCTTTATATTCAGCCGCTTCCCCTGCCACTCGCGCTGCCGGAAATAATGCCGGGCGACAACTGAACGAGAGGGCTGAATGTAAAAACACGCTGCCACTCGCGCTGCCAGTCCTTTGACTCGCGCACGAAAAACCGACAATCGAGGGAGCGCCGAGCAGCGCGAGTGGCAGCGCCAATGGCATGGGAAGTGTTTTCACTCTCACGCTGCTCACTTCCGTGCTCACTTCCCTGCCCGCTCAGGCTGAGTGTAAATTGGGCATAAACTATAATTACATAAATTGCAATTTTCTTTAAAATTCAGATATCAATAAATATTATTGATATGCATTTATTTATTGACTGTAATAATTTGATAGTAAGTGGAAATTATCTTAACTGTCATATACATAAACAGTTCCAAGAATGTCTTTTCATGTAATGCTCAGATATGTTACTATTTCTGAGGTCTATGATGACATGAGGAGATATTGATGGCCCTATTGGTTTAGCAGTTTAGCACACCGCCTTACTTCCGGTGGTCGAGGGTTCTATTCCTCGCACGATTATACATTTCTATTCACGAGTATTTTCTTCTGTATTAATAAGGTATCTACCTATTTACATTGTCTAATACTCGGCATAATATAGCAAGTTCGAGCACTGAGACAGTACTATCTAAATATCATTATTATTTTTACTATTGTTATCGGCGACCTACCGCTCCTTTTCACAAATGTACAGTACACATAGATGTAATCTCGGCCGATTTCGGCCACGGCAACTGTCTTCAACTCTGGTTTTGCCGTTGATGTGCTCGCATGTGACTTACGTACAACTACAACTACTACTGTAAGGGGGGAAAGGAATAGTTAGTAATGTGGACTCTCGACCTCATTGCTAGCAATGTACCATGTCAGGTTGACCTCCACGCGGTTCCCGCTGGAAACCATCGTGATAAATTCCAGATGAATTTGCTATGGGCTAACTGACCTGACCTCATTCTCATCTTATCATCTTCCACTGGTGCCCCGCCAGCGTATACCGTTAGCGCAGGCGGGTGCACCATTTCATTATCATATACAAAAAAAAAACTACTACTGTAGTCGTAGTAGTAGTATAACGGTCTCGGTGGTCTCGAGGTTTCGCTCACCGCGAGACCACCGAGCTTATCTACATTAGTATTATAGCTTTACCTCTAATGGCCGCGGATTCAATTTCTCCGGATGCAAATATTTGTATTCATGAGTATGATTATTTGTATCGCTCTAGCTGTATTCTACATATATTATTATGTATGTATGTATGTGCAAAAAAAAATATTTACATGCTTTCCCTTTTTGTGTTTCTTTAATATATGCGTGATTAATTTTTCTTTACAATATTTGTGTTTGTCTCATACTATTTTATTTTTGATTGAATTTTCTTTTGTGGACCGAAAACTTAAGCTATAATGAAAATATGTAAATTAAAAGAGTTCATAGCAAAAACAGTTTCATTTATTATGAAATAGAATACATTATCGTTCTTATTTCTACGATCTGATTTTCAACCGCATCCAGTGTCCTCCTTTGATCCGCAAGTTGAATGTGTCTGTGGCGAGCTGGGACGACACACATGTCTTCTCACACGGCGATATCTCCATGTGTTGCAACAACTGGTACAGCATCACTTTCACCTCACACAGAGCGAATCTCGAACCTGGTGATACAGAATTAGAAACAAATATTCAGTAAGACTTACAAATTTGAATTACATGGAATTCAGCTGGTACAAAGTGACAGACAGTGAAGTTTATTATCTATAGAGATGGATCAAAAACTAAACACAGTATGAGCGTATACAATATTCCATAACATATGTCCTGATGATCAGCGATTACCGCTGCCAATGAGCTCACCAGAGCAATTGTAAGTGCGTCACCGGCCTTTTAGGAATATGCTGTTTTCTTGAAGGTTTCAATATAGTTTCTGTTCAGAAATAAGATTGCTGGAAGTGATTCCACATTTGTACGTTATAAAAAGTTTCTGAAAGTTTTTAGAAAATTTTGCAAAAAGTGTTCTGCGTAAGCATACGGAATAATCTGTTTTCTTGAAGGTTTCAATATTATTTCGGTTCAGAAATATGATAACTGGAAGGTTATTCCACAATGTGGTTGTAAATTTAAAAAATGTTCTTTGTAAGGTTATTCCTTGCAAAGCAGAGGAATAACCTTACGCATCTAATTTGGATACTGGTTTAAAAAATAAGGTAATAAGACTTATCTGGAAATGTTAAAGTTAGAAATTCTCACCAATACAATTCCTGGGACCCAATCCAAATGGCATATACGATAGAGGTTGTATTTTGTCCTTGTTCTCCTCGGAGAATCTTTCTGGATCAAACTTTAAGGGATTAGAGAATAACTCGGGATCCCGGTGGAGGGAGAACGTTGGGATTAGAATACCTTCGCCTTTACGTAACTATGGAAAAAAACATAAATTACAGTTAATAAAGAAATATTATAAAATTGAAATCTAAATGTATGTGAAAGTACATACAGTAGTTATATAAAAAAATAATTTTAAAAACATTTGTCTGCATGTCTGTTTATTTTTGCTATTCTTTGAATCGGGTGGACCTATTTTGACGCGACTTTCACTTACAGGTAGCCAATATTTTAAGGAGTAACTTCGGCTACGTTATAGTATGTACCTATTAAAAATAAATACATATATGTACTTACAATATAGTCTTCGGTGGCTTTACTGTTGGGTTTGCCTAAATTGTAATCTTTGGTGCATATCCTGTCAAGACCAACTGCAGGTGGCCATAATCTCAGCACCTCTGAAAAAAATACAGATTATATATTAATCTACATCATAATAACAATACAGTTACTACGTCGAATATCTAGTAGGAACAATGAATGAAATTTCTCAGTAGTATTACTTAATGATTTAATTGAAATACATGGTTTCACTGATTATTTTAATCGGCGTAAAAGCACCGTAAACCCACAGTGATAATGCTAACTATACATACATAGGTATAGTATACAATGTTAACATTATTTTATATTTTAATACATTATTATATATGTGTGTTAGTCTATAAGGTTTTTATAATATGGACCTAGTAGCTAGCAATAAATAAATAGGTTTAAAGTAATGTAATAAAATAATTTCAATAAGTCTTACCTTTGAATTTTACTTAATGTATTTAGTTATTAAATATATTATGTAAAATTCAAAGGTAAGTTTTAGAAGTTCAAGAAAGGTATTTTATTATTATATATATTCTTTAGTGGAAATATAGTAATAAAATAATTTTAGAGGTAATGTGAGCAAATGTGGATTTATCCCTAGAAGAGATTTCTTCCAGTCAATCCAAAACATATTTTTTATTAAAAGACTCAAAAACATTTTTACCTGAAACTACCATATCCATATACGTCATGTTTTGGATGGATTTGTAGTCGAATTTCCCACCGTTTTTTATATCATTCTCTTTTATCTCCTGTGCCAGTTTCTCTTGTACTTCAGGATTGAGTGCCAACTCGTGTAGGGCAAATGACATCGCTGCGGATACAGTCTCGAAGCCAGCGATGAAGAATAAAACAGCTTGAGCCACTAAATCGGTGTCAGTCCATACTTTTGGACAAAAAGCATAATTAATATAATTTTCTACATAAAATTCTCGTATCACAATTTCAGTTACCATACTCCTCCTAAACGACTTTTATGAAATGTTATATGCATAGTCAGTAGATGTGAGAATCGGCTAATATCTATTTTTCATAACCCTAAGTGATATGGGTTGTCCAACCCTAACAGGTATTTTGAATTTATTGGACAATTTTTTTTTCTTAGTTTTTTATAATCTGCCATAAAAATACATACAATCCTAAATTTTCACCCTTCTTCCTACCTACCAACCCTTATTTTTTAATAACGATTTAAATTTATATAGCGAAACAAAGTTTGCGGGGTCAGCTAGTTATCTATATAATAAAAATACATGTCTCAATGAAAGTATTTGCATTAGCTAGCCACTGGGGCCAAGGTGCTCGCCTTGTGGGAGGCAGCGCCCCAATCGAATGGTCTGGAGTGACGCGTATCCAAACGCTTGTAAAATTAAGTAGGGAAATAGGTCGCCCTAATAATGAGATAGGATCTGCCCTACATCATCTACAAGTTGGGCCAACGCAACCGGAATCGCGGTACTTATACACACACCCCCTCGTCACGTCTACGACGGGAGAACGATCTTCTGAAGATTTCTTTGCGTGATAAAAAAATACTATTCATAGTAACTAGTACAAAACAGTCAAGTTTTACTTAATTGTTGCTACAATAAATATGCTATAGTATTGTAGATATTTTCTATAGCTTCTCTCAATCCTATGCGCTTGATCTACTTTACTAGAAATTCCCTTATCAACATTCACAGACAGTTCAGTGTGTTTATTTTATATTGTTATTTAATTTTATTTACTGTGCTCGTTTTATTACTTTCACATAGATTCGATTCTTTTATCTGATAAAGTTATACTAATATTATTGTTAAATATGAATCTTTCGTATCCAGCATATAAATTAATAGATTTGTAGTATGGAAATAGCTATATCGTCGTTACAGATAGGTACATATTTTTAAATTAATAAGACATTTACATATATTACTTCTTACCTCTGTCTATAACTTTCTTTCCAACTGATGATTCTTCAACTGTAGCAAAGCCTGCATTAGTGTCTTGTACCATTTTATCATCGTATGTTAATTTACCTATAAATTAAGCGATATAATTAGAATACTTCATGTTATTATATCTAATTATAATATAGATAACAGTTCGTCTATAATTTTATCAGATAATTATTTGTTATCAAAGAGACTTCACACAATAACATTATTGTCATAGAAACGATATTCTTCAGAAACTATGTACATTTTGTTATCTCCGTGTAATCTTATTTAGTCTATATTATCTTACAGTTCAGTAGACTTTTAAGATAGGATTACCCTTTAAAATAAGAATTAACACTAGGTATAATATTTTTGATATGTCTGTATGTTTTTTATATCTGTATATTTAGGCATATTCTACACTAATCATAATGGAAATTATGCAGTCTTACATATAATAAACAATTATTTATTCTAGCGATCGGCCAGTAGTCGAAATTCGACAACATACAATTTTAGATTTAGTAAGACCGTGTATATTATGTTATGACCATGTATATTATGTAATATTATGTTATCTGTGGTAAGACTATAGACAAATATAATAAAAGATGGACAGTATTAATCTATTTTCAATTCGACCCCAGATTTTAGCAAATATTAGCATTGTGCACTCCTTCTCTATAAACTATTAGTGTGCGAAATTTCTTACTACCCACCGTGCAATTTTCGTAATATTGGGTACAAAGTTTGCTCTTCACGTGTACATTATTTGTTAAGGTTATATTGATTGAATGTTAAGGTTGATTGCTATTTACTAGAAAATTATTCGTGTTAAGACTCGGTTAACGATATAAATAACTAATAGTAATATATAATAAAAACTTTGTAAGCAAGTCTTTGAAGAAAATTCTACGAGAAATAAAATAATATCAAAGGACACTATTAGTTTTCCGAACTGTTATAATGCTGTGGCTAGACTTTTATGCTTCATGGCGCGAAAATAAAGGTGGAAGCCGCTCCTCACAAAGTCCGTGGAACTTTGTAAGGAGTGGCTCGTAGCCAACTCCTACTTACTACTTACTACTAACAACAGATACCTATAGTAAATATAATTCTTCAGTACCAATAGATCAAGTTACACTATTTACTTTGGCAGTAGATGACAGTGTATATCCGTCATACTTTAAGTTTATTTCAATTAACATTACTTCACAAGTTTCAACATAATTCTTTATTATATTTACTAAGTTAAATATACTTTACTAGTTACTCTCCCCGGTTTCGCATGGGTATGCTTACTACGTACTATATCTTTTAACCTACCTCTTGGATCACTGTCTATTGCAAAAAACTATATTAAAATCGTTGTTGCGTAGTTTAAAAGATCTAAGCGACTTAATTTATAGTAAAGATTAGAATAAGGAACAGTGGGACTAACAAAATAATGATAAAAAAGTTCCTCAATAAATCTAATATTTAAAAAATACACATATATATAGTTTATATTCTTACCTTTCTGGGCTTCCATTAGCAGATGTATCATATCCGGTCTGACAATTTTTTGGTCTTCTCGATTTCTCATTGTACCGAGTACCAGATTTTGAAAGAAGTTTGTCGTGTCTTTGCTGAATAGTGTTACTTTTAGTTTCTGCAACGACAATACAAAACTATGAATAGTACAATGAATTTTGAAATACTAGCTGTGCCTGCGATTTCACCCCATTTACTTTTCTATGGTTGTCACTATTAGGTAGGCCAGAAATATATAATACTACCTGTGCCTGCAGTTTTACCTGCATGAAATTTATAGCCTATATGTTATTCTTATGTATAAGCTATAACACTGTTACGTTTCAACTAAATCCGTCCAGTAGTTTCTTCATGAATCAGTAACAAACATTCATCTATACTCACAAACTTTCGCATTTATGATATTAACAAAATATTAGAAACTCACATTACTACAATACATTAATTATTACTTAATGGATTTATAATATTTTGTTTAATTCCGCTACTATTGCTGTGTATACAACAAATTTTAATATTCGGTGCGGAAACTTGACTACAGCTGCTGGAAGTGTTACCTTCTCAGTTGGTAAAATACCGACCTTTATTGAATCTACACCCATATTACGACTCGTGTTTTGCCTCTGAACGAGGCATCATCAGGCAATGATGTTGAATAGTTCGAAAACCTAATCTTGATTGTTCGGCGAACAAACTACGACTGTTATGTAGTTACTAATAGAATTATTGTATACTAAATAATAAATTAAATCACTTACCGCCATTAACTTTGGGAAGGAGATGAAAAAGAAGAATTTCAGAGTTTCAATAAACCCGAATGTGGAGGCTGTCTTCCCCTTCTGATAGAACTCGTTTTGTTCGTCCATGTGCGAGTTTACTTTGAGTCCGAATGCACAAGAGGCGATGACGTCATTGGCATATCGGGTCGTTAGATCTTTAGCCTCAATGTCGACGTAGTTTACTAAACAGATAATAAAAAAATACGTATATATATATATTCCCGTAATATCTCGTCATAAATCGTCCAAAATAATTATTGATTCAAAACTTAAAGGATAGCAATTGATATATTCATTAAATCAACTTATGATATTTGTACAAAATATTACATCGTAATATATAAAAAAATCGTGTCAATTTGTATATCTGCGATGGAATCCTAAACTACTGAATCGATTTTGATGATATTTTATATGCTTATACTATCGTAGGTCAGAATGTGTTGTTATAAATTTTTTATACCTCTAAGTGATAACCCACCGATTTTTTTTATTTTATGACATTATTGTCTAATTTTTTTTTATAATTTCAATTTAAAAATACTATAGATGATAATAATTTATATGTTAAATCAGCATTTGCCGGGACTGCTAGACTTAATATACAAATGTATTTTGACAAAACAATTTTTTAAAGACTACTTACAGATATCATAGTAGAATATAAATGTATGATAAGCTATTTAATTGTAATAACAACGCTAACCTCCAGAATCTCTGATTTTGGTTTTAAGAGCTTGTATCATTTGATCACCAACTTCTACCATAAATGGCACCATAAGTCGTATCTTCGAACTGGTGAACGCTGGACTCAGAGATGCTCGCATATCCTTCCACTCTTGACCTTTAAAAAACAGTTCATCTGAATACCTTATTGTCACCAATATAAGAATAACAAAAAAATTGTGAACTATCCTATTTTTTCATCAAAGCTTAGATATACCGAAAACAGAATACGACACAAGGCTAAAAATTTCCCAGAAAGAAAAAAAATAATTAAAGTGTCAGATGAGTTGTAATATGTTTTGCTGGATATGTAATAAGTTTTGCAAATTATTGGCCCCAATTGGACTAGAGTATTTAAAAGAGCAACACACAAGTTTCTTGCTCGTTCTTCTTGTGATGAGACAGCTTTCCGAACGAGTGGTAGATAAAAACAAATTGTTATGACTATTCAAAAGTGCTTAAATTAAGTTTATTAGAATAAATAATTTTCTATTTTTTATTTAAATTCGTCGAGTCCAATTAGGGCCAAAAAATTATATACACAAATATTTGACCCTAATTCAATAAATACTGTCTCAGTTCAAATGATCTAAGTTTTTCAAGATACTGCAAGCCAATAAAACATTTTTCATTATTTTCAGATAAAAATAAGGAGCCCACATGCTCTATTAACAATTATGATCCTAAACTCTTAAATAAGTAAAAACAGAATATAATAAAATAATATAATGAGGACCTTTCAATGAGATCAAATTTCTTCCAAACACTGGATCTACAGTTTCATCCACGAATGTTCTGTGATCCAAAAAATATTCGAAGTCCTTAATAGCTATCTTCTTCACCAATTCAAGATCCTTCACCATTAGCACCGGCTTCACAAACTCATACCTTCCCACAAACCTACAAACATTTATAATTTTATCATATGCAGTTTTATTTATCTTTTTATTCAGCATTTAGATGTTCTGCAACAATAAATAATATCGTCAAGTATTTTCATTTAAAAATTTATACATTAAATTCATTAATTTGCTAATAAAATATTCATAGGGTCTAAACATAGACCTCCAAAGTCATAAAAATATTTTTGTATCTTCAGTAAAAATAGGCATTAATCAAGTTATAGCCTCTTTACTTTATGGGGTACCTTAAATAGGCAAAATGCTCTCTTTCAATTGGTGTAAAAAGAAGTAACGATATCTTAAAAAAAGAATTATAGAAAACGTCTAAAATATAAACAATTAAACAAATAAGCACTTTTAATATAAAATTTTAATTCCAAATATAACAAAGTAATTTTCAAAAATAGCGAAAATATTTTCTTCACCTTAAGGTGATATCTAATAACATACATGAACTAACACGTAAATAATAAATTTTATATAACAAAATAGCCAATTAAAAACTAAAAAAAAAAAATAAAGCCAACCGAAATTCCCTTATAAATTTATTTGAAAAAAGTTTATTTAAAATTGTTTATCTATACATATAAATAAAATTAGAGTGTCTGTTTGTAATATTGAAATAACCGTATTTTACTACATGCAAATGAATATATATGCGGTACATATACCAAAATAACACTTTTTATAATTTTTGTCTGTCTGTTGATCTGTTTGTTTCGGCTAATCTCTGAAATGGCTGACCGATTGTGACGAGACTTTTTGGCAGCTGATGTAATAAGGAGTAACTTAGGCTACCTTTATTTTAGTAAAATAAAGTTAAATTCCACGCAGACGAATTCGCGGGAACAGCTAGTATACTATATTACGGAGTTATAAAGAACAAACATTAAAAATTACAGCCGCATTACAAACATTTTTGATGTTTGACAAAAGAAAAAAAATCCTCACCGTTCCTCCGGAAATTGATCGTAGTTCCTTTGGACGTCGTCTGTGAAATGTTCAACGCGCAATATAATCCTTCCCATATTACCCACAACCGGGATTGGGCTGAAGTGCTTCACCCCATACTTGGAGAACCTAGTGTACACTTGTCTATAATACAGCGCCAAGGCTGCTACGACCACCACGAACCAGACGAGGTACAACAACATCTAGAAGGAAATATTTTTTTGTCATTAAAAGGACAAACATGCTGATGATAAGTGGTAATCTTTCCCTAGATAAATGAATACCAGATTTTTTCGGACTACTCTAATGCTGTTAGCCATAGCTGGTCTTTATAGATTCACCGTACAATACGGAGCGAGTGCAAATGGTACTCCAAACCAGCTGAAGGACTTATGGAGCGGCTGAAGGCCAACCTGCACCTGACGAATAGTACTCTAGTCTGAGGGATCCACTAAGTGTTTGAACCACGGCTCAGGCCGTCGTAATTTCGATCCCCGTTTGAATTTAGACGGGCAATCGATCGAAGGGGTGTAATTTCAATGTTTTTCTTACCCTTCAACTAAGCAACGTGTTTGACGGCTGAAATAGGTAGTTGAGGTCTTCAATAATAGAAATATTTTTGTAATGTCTATTTCCTTTACCTTTGTATATTTAATATATACTTAATCTAAATATATATAACTATATAACTCAAAGGTGACTGACATAGTGATCTATCAACGCACAGCCCAAACCACTGGACGGATCGGGCTGAAATTTGGCGTGCAAGTAGATGTTATGTAGACGTAGGCTAAGAAAGGATTTTGATAAATTCTACCCCCAAGGGGATAAAATAGGGGATGAAAGTTTATATGAAACTTCGTCAATTTTAAACCGATCGGGCTGAGTCTTTGCTTGCATAAAGCTACTACGACGTAGCCATCCCTTAAGAAAGGATGTTGATAAATTCCACCCCTAAGGGAATAAATTAACGCGAGCCAAGCCGCGTGCAAAAGCTAGTTAATAATATATTTAAGGTAGCGATTTCATAACTTCTGTAGAGTGCTCTAACCACATTTCGGAACAAATTATTTTAAACATCACTGCATTCTCATATACATTATATATACTATATCTACATACATGTTATTCGGTATTCAAATTGCTTCCAAACACATTCTGAATGATAAGCACTCCTTTACAATACACCACTTACAAGATAAAAGTGTATTAAATAAATATTATTGCAGTTTAATCTTGATGATCTAGATTGTTTCACCTAAATGTCATTTAACTAAACTTAGTAATTCGTTTTATAGTAATTGCGTTAGGTTTCTTAACTACTAGAATCTGTTTTAAAACTGCCTGAAAAAATATTTATATGTCGTATAAAAACTTTCTTTGTAAAAAAGATTATTGAGTTGAAGACACTGTAAATGATAATAATGTCTTTAGAATAAAATTTAAAATTCATAGCGCTGACAATATTATCTGATTTCACTAAGAATGAGTGCGTAGTGGTTGCTATGTTGATTCTCGCATGTTTTTATTTGTTATTGTGATTTTATTTAAAATAAGATTTATTCAAAAGAGCAAAACACACAAGTTTAGTTTGTTCTTGTTGTGAGTGTAGACTCATCACAACAAGAACGAACAAGACTACATACTACTACAAAATACATTTATATCTGTATAGATAAATGTAATTTGTATATAAGAGGTGTGTATTATCATGAACAAATATATTTAACAATTTGCTAAGATACGACACCTAAAAATATACGCGCATAAATCATTTTCGCACTTGATCGATTAGGTCAATTTCTAGCAAATTGTATTTACAAATTGGTATATGATGAGGCCAGTTAGGTTAGTTGGACCAATTGTAGGTGTTGAGTCTGTCCGACTCAACTCTGGAGATAGACTCAACAAATTAGCTGGTCAAGATCGCGACCCCATAATATTATTGAACAATAAGCAAAGTGAAAAACGGCAATTATTAGATTTATTGGTAGTAATAAATATGAATAATCTCAGTACAATTCACACAGCGGCATCTAGACCCAAATTAACCTACCTAAAGCTTGTGTTAAGGGTACTAGACAACTGATACAAATACATAGAAATGTTTTTTTTCGTAAATATGTATTGCACATTTTAATACCCAGACCGATACAAACAATCATACTCAATACAAATGTTTGTGCCGTGCGAGTAATCGAACCCGCGACCATCGGAAGTAAGGCGGTGTGCTAAACCGCTAGACCATGAGGCATAATTTACTATATCAGGATGATTTCCACGTAGTCTGGCAACCATCCTGGTTTATTCCTGGTGAATTCGTAACAATAGGCTAACTGACTCTACTTTTAGTGGATGATAATGGAATGATGCACCCGCCTGCGCTAACGGTATACGCTGGCGGGGCACCAGTGGAGGATGATATGATGAACATGAAGTCAGGTCAGTTAGCCCATCGTGATAAGTTCACCGGGAATTTATCATGATGGTTTCCAGGGGGGACCGCGTGGAGGTCAACCTGACATTACTAACAATCTCCTTCCCCCCTTGTGACTCTACTGTCAGCGTATACTGACAACTGTTAGAGCAAGCAAATGCACCTATCCATTTGCATAAAAAAATAACTAACTAACTAATTGGGTCAAAAGTTTTCGCAAAGTGTACTTCTACTATCATTGCCCAATCAATTGTATTTTGAATCCCATCGTAATTATAGTCAGCCGCTTCATTACTAGAATATAATTGTATATATATTGTTTTTAATATAATATAATTATATAGTAATGTACCTGACACAGGCACTTCTATGCTTACTAGGTCATCCCAACACTATGTTATTGTAACCGAATTGTTTTTTAAAGATATAATAATTTTTTCAATTTTTTTTTCAAGTAGTGACAAACAAACAGACACACGGGAAGTGGTAACCGTAGCCTATTTACATGAATAGCCTATATTTTATAATATGCCATTAAAATAGACAAAGAAATCAGGCTACCATATCCGGTCATTTCAATAATAAGTACAATCAATTTCATACAAATCGTGGCACCACGAATGGTCAATATTATATCATGAGCGGCAAATTCAATGTTTAAACAGAATCCAAGTTTGAAGTTGTCAACAAAATATTTATAAAAACATGTTTCAATTTTAAATATTTACATTTAAATAATTGCTAGAATTACCAAGATAGAATATTATTTGACTTTACATTTAATTATAAAGTTAAATAATAATAATACAGGACAATTTACACAGCCTCCCACACACATACATCTAGCCCCATACAGTCCGAAGCTAATCAGGGCTTGTGTTATGGGTACTAAGACCTAAGATATGTTTAAAATTTGTTTTGTTAATGATTTCATAATATATATAGAAAATACAAAGATCAATACAAACAATCTTATTAATAAAAATTGTGTTATATTTTTGTATCGTGCGAGAAATTGAACCCGCAACCATCGGATGTAACGCGGTGTGCTAGATCACTAAACCACCGAAATCGCCGTTGTATCCACAAATATGGTTTTTTGTCTTTCATATCCACTAATTGGTTTGGCTGTTTCTTGTATATTTTACATATGTATTTACAGAAAAAAAATGTTTTTATGCACTGTTCATACATACAGGAACCATTTACCATTACCCCTTCGGTGGTCTATAAGCTTGTTTGCCATAACATTAATATATAAAAAAACAGTTTATTAACTGACATAGCTGACAGGTTTACGCCTACACAACCATCCTATAATTAAATACCTAATCGAAACAAATAAAGAGACACTCCACATGAAACCTCCTCCACTTTTAAAGTCGGTTAGTTGCCCTTGAACGTCGCTACGATTAGCTCTAACTATTATTTATACGTTGTTATTGTTGACAAACCGGTTAGAAGCGCACAATGCAAACAAAAAGGTACCTACATAGGTGCGTAATTAAATTCTAATTTCAATAATATAAAATCAAAGACGACTATTCCCTTTATTAAAGATATGTTTTTGTATGAAAAAAAAATTTAGAAATTACATTAGTGGCACGAAATACCATCACCATTATACTAATATATTTTTATTACGGTGCAATACAGAATAATAAATTCTATGTGATTCTATGTGAAGCAAAAATTTGCATCCAAAAATTGCGCAGACTGGAGGACTTATAGTTTACATAGAGAAAAAGTGCAGAATGTTAATATTTTTAGTTTAATTATGCACAAAAAAGACATTAATTCAACAAAAAAAAAATTAAATACACTACCATTATTCCAAATTTCTTTAATAGTATTCAACCAAACTACTATCGTGGTATGAGATTATATAAACTCCATGAGATTATATGAATATTTATTATATGTAGTTTAAATTTATATTTTATTTATATGTAATCCATAAACTTATGTCTATTTTATATTAATATATTAATATTTTTATATATTTGTCATAATTTTTGTTTTTTTTTCTTTCAATTAATTATAAAAGTGCGCTTTATTGTCTCTGATCAACGCGACGGTCGACTGGTAGAGAATGCCATCAGGCATTAAATCTGCAATGTACATATATACTTTTGTGTGCAAACGAATAAGTAAATAAATAAATAAATATATATTTGATACACAGGCATAGAAATACATATAGTCTTTAACAATAGAACCTTAATAATGTTCAAACTTATAATTTAAAAAAATATAGTCGAATTTCAACCATTAGGTCGACTACTAGTATACTTAAATTAAATAATAATAATATTAAACTATATTATTGTATAACATTGTTTTTCGACTCAAATTATTACGGGGGTACTTAAATAATGAAATATGTAATTTTATTTTATCTATCTATCTATCTAAATTATTATAAAGTTTCATTAAAATCCGTTCAGTAGTTTTTGCGGGAAGGAGTAAAATACCTCCATATATACTCACAAACTTTCGTGTTTATAATATTAGTAAGATATTGTAAGGATTCTTGTTTGATATGATATGATTGATAATAAATAAAGATTCATAATCGTCATCATTTCAAGCCGGGAGACGTCCATTGCCGAATAAGGCCTCCCCCAAAAATCTCCAATTAAAGATTATTATTACCAAATCAAAACACTGCTATCGGAAAAAAAATTGTACTTGAGTTTCTTACTAGTTCCTACCGACTAAATTGGAACTGGGCAGTATAAAGAGAATTCTAAAAAAAAATATTAATAAATAATTTCCAATAAAACTTCTTTTAAAGTCGATTAGAACTCAATAATGAGTATTAATATATAATTTAATATGAAACATAATTAATTGGAAAAAATATTACAGAAATGCCAAAAAGTGTTACTAATATTGATTAACTTCTTTTAAAGTCTAATAGAAATCAATAAAGGCCCTTTAAATTTAATTAAGAAACTTAATTAATTACTAAGAAAATAATAACTTACTATTAATTATTTCACTTAACAATAACAATTTCATAAACGAACGATATATATTTAAAGAATTATGTAATAAATCAATTTCATAAACGAACGAATATTTAAAAAAGTTCTGTAATAAACTACAGCACTGGCAGTGTCGCTAAAAGCAACAACTGTACTGCGCGCCGAAATGCGCAATTGTCAATTACATAGTGGTTGTTATTCTGGTATCTACATATGTATTCAGTGATAAAAGGTAATTATGATAACTGTTGAGGGCTCTGAAATCCCATTGTCTGTCTGCCTAATTATATCTCGAAAACTAAACTTCATTTCATGTTATAGTTATAAAACAATATATTCAAATTCAAAATATCTTTATGATTTTAAATCTACCGTCAGTCGGAATGATTTCGAGATGAGAAGAATAACTAATAATACTACCAACATAGAGTAGGTCCAATTATTTTTTACAGCCTCGGAAGTCTGTAAAAAATGATGAATCTACTCTACGTTGGATTTCACACCTTGCTTTCCGATGGTCGCGAGTTAGATTCCTCGCACCGTGCAAATATTTGTATTCATAAGTTTGATTGTTTGTATTCGTCTGGATTTCTAATATTATGTATTAACAAAAAATATATAAAAAATATCACTTGCCTAGTACTCATAACACAAGCTATATTTAGCTTGGGACTAGATATTGTGAATTGTCCTGAGATATTATTATTATTTATGGCAGTCTTTTTAGGTAACTCTCACTACTGTCGGTGAACAAATTGCACCGAGTGTGCTATTCTTACTCAATAGAAAGCCACACAGTATTCATAGATGTGGCATTGCTGGGATAATGGGATTTAGCATTTTGATACAACCACGGCTTAAACCCGCCTCCCTAAAGTCCCACTTCTAGGACAAAAGAAACAACGACTTTGCTTAATATTATTTAGACGTTATAAAATAAACATATGTTTCTAAATTCAGATTTCAGTCTTGTAGTAATTAACTTTCTGTTGATTCGTAACTCAAGCTTAATAGAGCCTAGAATATCATAAATGTGTCTAAAAAAATACTATTTTAGTAGTACTTAACTGTTTAAATTTTCTTTTGTGTAACAAAATCTTATACTATCTTGAAAATATGTGAAATAAAATAGTTTATAGTAAAAATACAACATTTATTAATCGTAATAGACTTGTATGGCACGATGAATTAAAAAAAAAATAATGATGGAAAAATATAAGGATATAGGGTAATTTTTAGGCGAAGACCAAGGCACAGCTATATTAAGCTAAATAAAGTCAAAATTGGAGTCGTATCGTATCAACATTTAAAGAATATAATGGAAGATTGTGGAAAGTAGCTAGAGCTTTCTCGACAAGAGCGTAGTTCTTAAAATATAAATGAATGTCATTATAATACAGTACCGTGCTTATTTCTAAGATCTGATTTTCAATCGCATCCAGTGTCCGCCTTTGATTCGCAAGTTGAATGTATCTGTGGCGAGCTCGGACGATAGACATGTCTTCTCACACGGCGATATCTCCATGTGTTGCAGCAACTGGTACAGCATCACTTTCACCTCGCACAGAGCGAATCTTGAACCTGGTGATACAGAACATATTTTTACATATTTACTATATTCATATTATAGGCACTGTTGTTGTCTGTTACAATCTTTATTAGATACTAAGGTTCTCTATACAAAAATATAATTCTTAATAGTAAAAAATACAATTTAAATATGAGATATAAAACTATATGGCCAGTAAGTACGTCAGCAACAGGCACTATTGACCTATCTTCAAATATACGCATCAAGATTAATAAAAATTGTAGATTCTCACCAATACAATTTCTAGGACCCAATCCAAATGGCATATATGACAGTGGTTGAATTTTGTGCTTGTTTTCCTCGGAGAATCTTTCTGGATCAAACTTCAAGGGATCAGGGAATAATTCGGGATCTCGGTGGAAGGAAAACGCTGGAATCAACATACCTTCGCCTTTACGTATCTGAAAGAGAATTAAAAATGAAAGAGATTGATCGATTTGTCATTGTAATAATGGTTTACAGCACAAATATATAACTTCATATAATAAACATAATACATATTTGTATATAAGTACACAACATATACTTACAATATAGTCTTCGGTGGCTTTACTATTGGGTTTGCCTAAATTGTAATCTTTGGTGCATATCCTGTCAAGACCAATTGCAGGTGGCCATAATCTCAGCACCTCTGAAAAAACATATAGTTAGTAAAAAAATATAGTTAAAAAGAATAAAACTGACTCATATAAAATTGATAATCTTGTGGAATATGTAAACAGTCAAATGAGAAGACGCGCACCTCTATGCCTAATATAGCTTTATAACACAAAGAAAAAGTAAGAAATTTAAAAAATATTTATTTATCTACAATCAGTAAAATTTTTAGCAAATAAATAGAATTTTTTGACTCTTTATTAAGTAACTATTTTACGCGAATTCGTCGGCACCTTTCATTCGCTATTTCACCCCTCCTGCATGATTTTTTTGATACAAGATAGTCCTTATCCGTGCTTATATTACCTTCCTGTGAAATTTCAATAATATTCGGTCAGCCATATGACAAAAGGTACACAGATACTGACAGACAATGATACACTTTCACATATACAATATTAGTATGAATAATGAGATTGAAGAAAACATCACTACCTGAAACCACCATATCCATGTACGTCATATCCTGAATTGATTTGTAGTCGAATTTTCCACCGTTTTTGATATCATTCTCTTTTATCTCTTGTGCTAGTTTCTCTTGTACTTCAGGATGAAGAGCCAGCTCGTGTAAAGCGAACGACATCGCTGCAGATACAGTCTCAAATCCGGCAATGAAGAACAGAACAGCTTGAGCAACTAAATCGGTGTTTGACCATACTTTGGAAAATAAAATATAATAATTTACATCATTACATAATTTCTCTAAACTAAGTAGGTATTCATTAGCGATACAGTTAATACCAAACACCATTTATGGTATGGTACTGAGGCACGATTAACATTATTATACTATGTATTAGTGCTATAAAAGTTGAATTGCTTTTTTACTGGCAATCTATGTCCTCTTAAAGTTGAAAAAATTTTATTATATTTTCTTTCATTAGTTTCAGCGAACCGATTTTTTAATCGCACAATATTATTAGTTTTCTTCAGTCAAAATGTTGTCTCCATTCCATTGATTTAATTAATATAACAGCTTTTTAGTACCCAATCACAATATTTACACATGTAATCACACATCTTCCTTTTTTAGAATTACTAGGATCTCACACAAAAACTTTATTAGTTTATAATTATTTTTACCTCTATTTATAACTTCTCTTCCAATAGAAGACTCTTCTACGGTAGCATAGCCAGCATTAGTATCTTTTATCGTCTTATCATCATATGTTAATTTTCCTATAAAATAGACATAATTATTAATATTACAATTAGTTTCTTTAATGTTATTATATCTGCTAATTACACAGATAATAATTTTAATGTTGAGTAACTGTAAATTTAATGTAATGCTATGATATAACTAGTGGTTATCAAAAAAACTTTATCATGGAATGACAACATATTGTATGGAAAATGATAACCATGGCCTATATAGTATATCTAGGCAAATATTACAAAATACATTATACAGACCTCTCGTATAGTATCATTCCTGATCACCAAGGTCTCAAGCTGTCTGTAATTTCCCTATAACTTTTTTCAGAGAGTTTTACTTTGTCCTATACACGGAGTTATTTACTGCATTTATATTTTTTATTCATACCTTTCTGTGCTTCCATTAGTAGATGTATCATATCAGGTCTGATGATGTTATTCTCCTCTCAATTGCTCATTGTACCGAGCACCAGATTTTTAAAGAAGTTTGTCGTATCTTTGCTGAACACCGTTATATTTAGTTTCTGCAAGTAAAAGCTACGAATTCTTACGAGACTCATAATAATTTGTTTGTAATTGTGTAGTAAAAATTAATTAGAGCACAAATATGAATTCTTGGTAGACTTATTCCAATAAATATAACTTATCAACCTCTTATGACTGTGATGAATTGTAAATTGATCGAGGAAAGATTTATTTTATTTATGGAAACAAGAATTTAGTATCTTAATTCATTACATATATATAATAATAATAATCTCATGACAATTCACACAGCACCATCTAGACCCAAGTTAAGCTAGCTAAAACTTGTGTTATGGGTGTAAGATAAATATACATAGATATTTTTTTTTGTAAATAAATACATATTATACATATAAAACACCCAGACCGATATAATCAATCATACTCATGATTACAAATGTTTGTGCCGTGCGAGGAATCGAACCCGCGACCATCGGTCGTAAAGCAATGTGCTAGACCGCCGAGGTCGTCAAGGTACGTCGAGGTATTAACCAATACAATTTATTTATTTTACTCAGGTACATCAAATTGTCGATATTATAAAAGAAGCATTATCCTTCTCAGATCAAATAAAATCAATATATCTTGATTCATGATGTACTACAGACACTACTGTTAGGTCAAATCTACCATCAGTTCGGAATGTACTCGTATTATAGTTTAAATTCATTTTAGTTCATTTATTTGCACTGAGTGGTAGACAACACAGTAAAGAACTAACAGGGAACTCTGCTTCTACTCTTTTTTATAGGAGATTGTACATTATGTATATATTAAATGTTAGTATACTTATGTAATTTTTATTTATTTATTAACTTGGTACTTCATTTGCTTCTCTGTTCTTAAAATTACATAATAATATACATACCACGTACCGCCATTAACTTCGGAAAAGAAATAAAAAAGAAGAACTTAAGAACTTCAATAAAACGGAATGCAGAAGCTGTCTTCCCCTTCTGATAGAATTCGTTTTGTTCGTCCATGTGCGAGTCTACTTTGAGTCCGAAGGCACAAGAGGCGATGACGTCATTGGCATATCGGGTCGTCAAATCTTTAGCCTCAATGTCAACGTAGTTTACTAAGCAGATAACAAAGATATGTAAATTGTTGTGTAATACTTTAAATAGACAAAGAATGTTTATTAAGTAATAATAACCATACCAACCTCCCGAATCAGTGATTTTAGTTTTAAGAGCTTGAGTCATTTGATGTCCAACTTCGACCATAAATGGCAACATCAGTCGTATCTTCGAACTGGTGAATGCTGGACTCAACGTTGCCCGCATATCCTTCCATTCTTGACCTTAAAAAGATTATTTCTTTAAAGGTCACGTATGGAATTTTTATATAAGAATATGAATATAATATTGGTCTCATAAGGAAAGGAGAAAGTAGAGAAGAAATGAAAGTAATGTTCTTTATGACTAATAAAAAAAATCATATTCGCAATTTAGATTCACCACGAAGATTGGACAAGAAACTTAAACTTTAGGTATCGTATCAAGCAAATGTTTAATATTTACAGTTTTAAGATTTTGCGTAAACAGAAATTGTAGAAATTTGTATCGTAAGTCACAATAATTAAAATGTTAAAGCTTTATAACAACAGGCTGATTTAAAGCTATAATAAAATGATGATTGATAAGGTGTTGTCAGTATTGCTCTTCATGTATGCAGGCGACGGTTACTGCTTACCATCAGGTAGGCCGTCAATTTGTTTGGCAAAATAATTATATGAGAAAATATTCTCTTTTTTTAGAAATTAACCTTGCAATGAAAGCAAGCTTCTTCCAAATATTGGATCCACACTTTCATCCACGAATGTTCTGTGATCCAGAAAATATTCGAAGTCCTTAATAGCTATCTTCTTCACCAATTCAAGATCCTTCACTATTAATACAGGCTTCACAAACTCGTATCTTCCAACAAACCTGTAAAACATTTGTTATTTTGTCTCATTCATTTTTATACTTTATTTACCATTTATATATACACTGTAGACAACAATTGAATATTATAATATCTTCATGATATTGGTGATTAAAGTTATTTATTATATTAATTACTTTGTTATAAAATCTTGTGTCATCAAAATATTTCAGAGAATAATCGTATTAATAAGTATTATTATTCATAATGTTTCTTAAGTTTATGTTCCATTTTGTTCAATATTCTTTTATCAACGTCAAGAAAGGTTGTGGTTCTCAATTACATTAAGTTACATACAGTTTAATAGGTAACAGCAATAAATAGAAGCAATAATCAATGGAAAATCTCACCTTTCTTCTGAAAAATGGTTGTAGCTTTTTTGCATGTCATCAGCAAAGTGTTGACTGCGCAGTATTACTCTAGCCATATTACCCACAACCGGGAATGGGCTGAAGTGCTTCACCCCATACTTGGAGAACCTGGAGTACACTTGTCTATAATATAGCGCCAAGGCTGCTACAACCACCACAAACCATACGAGGTACAACAACATCTAAAACAAAAAAATATAAATTAGAAATTTATAGAATATAAATTAAAAATTAAAAAAAATTATCATTATAATTTTATAAGTTAAATGTGCTTTTTTAACAAAAAAACTGCGTCTGTAGTGATTGTATACGCAGTAAAAGCGGGGGATATAATCTATTAAAAGTCCTTGATCTGTCCAAAACAGTAAGTTCTAATAGAATGAGGATCCTAAGTCAATATGACCAAGTTCATGCCAAAAGTGTATATATATACATTTAAGTGCTTCAATCAGTTATTTAGTAGCTATAAAATTAGCTCTGCTTTGTTTAGGACTAAACTGTTCTGTGTGAAAGATTGGGGTTATTATTAATTAATTAATTAATGATTAATTAATTAATTTATACATGCTTTTCATCATTGGAATTTCATTCAGCAATCTCCACAATGGACGCATTACAGTCATCGTTTATCATCAGATGGGCCATAAGATTGTTTGCCACCATTATAGTTTAAAAAAAAAATTAGATCAAACTTGTTTCTGGGGGGCTGGGAGAGCTGATTAATATTATTCTATTATAATTGGCACGTGAGGAACCCAGTTGGGTGAGCCGGCTCGACTTTTTAGTATTAAGCTCACTAAAATCTAAAGATCAACTCAATAAAGAGGGTCAAGAGCGTGACCCGATAATTTTATTGGGCAGGCGGTCGAAGTGTATAGTGTATAGATGGAGGGTTTAGATGAATAGACAGACTGTGTACTAAATTCTATTGTCCTAAGTTGTACGGATTGTGTACATATTTTAATATATATGTGATATAAAACTTTAAAGTATCAATATAATCCATTTCCTTTCTCTTTTCTCCTAATCCTTCATTTGCTTGAAACTATCTATGGTTATGTGTATTATTAAGTTTATGTAAGTATGTACATATTTACGTATGTATATTGAGTATGTTGTTATGTGCATCACCTACTCTCTTTCTCATATCTTCACCTTCTACCTAAACATTTTCTATAAGAGATTGCTTAGCGGTAAGACCGCCTTTTGTACCAGTTATTGTATTTTTTTCTATTACTTGATATTTTTCTGTATCTGTTGCAATAAATTTAATTTTATGTCAAAAGAAAGCAAAATAAATATATTTGAGTTAATAATTATCCAGAGTGATCAACATTACATTATCAAAAAATGTATCCTATACCAATAGTCGTCATTTAGATGAACTATGAAGATTTGTTCTAGAACCTCATTTAATTTCATTGCACAATATTTTATCGACAGCTTTGAATTCTGATTGCAAAAAATATTCATATTTCTCGCCTGTAAGCATTAACCATCCTTGATATAACTTAATGGATTTATTTTATTTTGTTGTCCGCTAGCCTGTCGGGCCTTAACCTGTTATATTAACCCGTGTTCTTACAAAGGGATCACAATTAGGTAGGTTTCCGAATTTCGTTACGTTACGGCAAAATTTCGGTTAAAGTATTGCTGTCGAGCTTGAGTGAGTGGAGACGCAAGGTCTCTGAGTAGAGACATAAGAATAACTACATTGTAATTTTTAATTCCGCTAGCCTGTCGGGTATTATTAGCCCGTGTCCTCACACGGGGATCACAATAGGCAAGTTTTGTTGCGTGGACACACTTCTTAAAACAGTCTTTACCACTTCTAAATTAACAAAGTTTTATGAAGAATTATAATGTTATGCCTAACAAAATGCATGTTTAGGTGTGAATTTACTAGTGTTTGTGTTCAGAAATAATGTACAATGTGTAAATATAATAAGTAATATTTGTAATAATTGTGTAATGTAACATGAATAAAGAAACATGAACTCACTGTTATTTATATAACTGAACAATCCATTACATGAAACAACACAGAAATATAAGTTCAGCAACGATGTGTAACACTTGTAACGTCCATTAAAGCATGAACTACACTGAGACATCATACTCCAATATACTCGTACGCAGAATAACATAGTGACCGTCAAATTTGAGCATAGTGATAATAGATATAAGTGATAAACTGCCATGATTCTTGGATGTCTAAAACATTATCAATGCGTAATAGGATATTGTTTTGATGTTACTGTATGTAGTATCTCATTAACTTTCCCTATAATTTCTCTGTTCTGTTATCATTGTTGTTACTTGTACCATTCCTGTATGTGTGACACAATTACATATATACATATATAGCCTCTGTGGTTAGCGGTAGTGTGATATGTGTATGGTGTGGGTAGCGGTTAAGCAAGCAGTAGCGCTTTCCGATAGACGGGTTCGATCCCTCGCACGGTGCAAACATTTATATTCATGATTATGAACGTTTGTAGTGGTCTGTGGTGTGGTGTTTTCTATGTACATTATGTATGTATTTACAAAAATTATGTATAACTAAGTATTTATATCAGTTGTCTAGTACCCATAACACAAGCTCTGCTTACCATGGGTCTAGATGGCGCTGCGTTAATTGTCCAGGGGTAATTTATTTATTTATCATTTTCTATCAATAATTGAATTAACATTTATTGGTATCAATAACATCTTCATTTTATGTGTAAACTTCTTGTATAATATCAATAGGTATGGATGATGGTATTCTATTGGATTTATATGTATATATTTATAACAATACTTACAGTTAATAATCACTTTCTTATATTTTCAACAGTATTTTACAAAATCTTTTCCACACGTCCGTTCGTAACGCTTGCTGCAATCTTAATAATCTCATCGCCATGGTAGAATAGAAAAGTGGGAGGTAGCTCCCAGTTTTATAATAAATCAATACACTTACTTTTATTTAACAATTCAATTACATAAATGGTTATTAAATATGATAAAGAAGCGTACTACCCTCAGGCAATTAAAATAGAACAAATATAGTAATAATGAATAACTGTTGATGACAAATAATAATAATAATAATAATCTCAGGACAATTCACACAGCGCCATCTAGACCCAAGTTAAGCTAGCTAGAGCTTGTGTTATGGGTACTAGATAACTGATACATATACATAGTTTTTTTTTTGTAAATACATACATATTATATATAAAAATCACCCAGACCGATACAAACAATCATACTCATGAATACAAATGTTTGTGCCGTGCGAGGAATCGAACCCGCGACCATCGGTCGTAAAGCGGTGTGCTTGACCGCTAGACCACCGAGGTCATCGAAATACACATTTTCTATTACTGATTCAGTCGCAATGGTTCTTATTTTTTTTATTTTGTATCAATTCTTGTATTAAAATATTAGATAACTTTAAGGATGGTTTATTACCGACACTAATGATTTTATAAAATTAAACTTACTATAGTAAAGTTTAACGAACAAAAGTTTAGCTGAACGTTACAAAAACTACTCTGAACCGGATATTAACGGTTTGAACTAGTTAGTGTTGTTAAACCCTCGCTTTATTAGTTATTGTTTTCACATACGTTTCTGAATAGCTCACGGGTTTGATTCCGAAAGGTCTCTACTATGGTCCTATGTTCAAATTTCGTAGATCAAAAAAATATATGTATAATTTTACATTTCTGATTGAGTCTTTACAGATAACAAATGAATAATCCAAGATATTTTGAAATGATAATTTGACTACCTCGGTTAGTATTCCGTGTTACTTTATGTTTGTCGCGGATTCGATTCCTCCCACGGTGAAAATATTTATATTTATAACTATGACTGTTTGTATCGGTCTGGTTGTTTTCTATGTATATTATGTATGTATTTACAAAACAAATATCTAAGTATGTATATCAATTATCTAGAACCCATAACTGATGTTCTGTTTAGCATGAAATTCATTATATATATATCATATATAATAAATTTCAAGCTATATATTATATATCATATCATATATAAGTCATCTGAGATTCTTATGACTGAATATACATAGCTACATATTTTTGGGTTCAATAATAATTGTATTCGTCATTTTGCTATTTTATATACTCGTAAAATAGATATAGTCTTTATTAAAATGGACATAAATTGAAGTACTTTTGAATAGTCACTTTTTTTTAATCTACCACTCATTTAGACTGCAGTCACTTGATAAAGAGAACGGGCAAGAAACTTGTCTGTTGCACTTTTAAACAAATACGTAACACTTTAAAATCAAATGAACAATTTTTTTTTTAATCAAATTATAAGTGGAATAACACTCTTTATAAGGCTTTTGTATATAAATAATTGTATTTCATTCAATTACAATATTGTCTTCTGTTTTTTTTATGATCTGATCTTCAAACGTATCCAGTGTCCACCTTGGATTTGTAGGCTTAGCGCGTGATTGGTGAGCTTGGTCGGTATACATGTCCTCTCACACGGTGTCAGCTCCATATGTTGCAGTAGTTGGTACAGCATCACTTTCATTTCGCATAGAGCGAACCTTGAACCTGATTATGAAAAAATGTAAAAATTTATATTACATATTTATGTTTATATCATTATATAGTATAAAACAAAGTCGCTATCGCTGTCTGTCCATCCCTATGTATGCTTAAACCTTTAAAACTACGCAACGGATTTTGAAGCAGTTTTTTTAATAGATAGAGTGATTCAAGAGGAAGGTTTATATTATACATGTACACCCGTGCGAAGCCGAGGCGAGTAGTTAGTTACATAATAAATCGTATTTAATGATTTAATATTATATTATATTTTGATTAGAAAAAAATGTAATATAAATATTCAAAAACTAGTATAGTAAGTATTATTTCATGTTATATTCATTATAATAAAAAAAACTGTTATAAAAAATAATTTCGTTCAAGAAAATAAAATGTATTAAATAATAAAAATGTATAAAGTCTATTTTAATTTAATATCACATTGTCATCTTACATATAAAATTATTGTGTTACAATGTTAGTTACCATACTGACTTGACTTGGCTTGACCGGTTTTTATGAAATTTTATATGCATATTCAGTAGGTCTGAGATTCAGCTACTATCAAATTTTAATACCCCTAAGTGATATGGGTTATCCACCCAAAATTTTTTTTTTATTATTTGCACAAAATTATTTATTTTATACAATTCCAAATTTTCAGTTCTTTACCATAAACCCACATTTTGAAAACGCGATTTAAATTCATATGGCAAAAAACGTTTTCAGCTAACGTTGTCAACCAGTTCCCGATAAATCATCGCATTAAACTATCGCTAGTTATAGTCTTCCAAGACGTCGATGAATTAAAAATCGAAATATTTACCGATATTCTGATTTCTCAAAAAAATATGACCACAATATCATTTATTAGGACGAGATTTCTACTTACCAATACAATTTCTGGGCCCAATTCCAAAAGGCATGTAGGCGAAAGGCTGGATCTTATGTTTGTTTTCCTCGGAGAAGCGTTCTGGATCAAATTTCAAGGGGTCTGCGAAGTGTTCGGGGTCACGGTGGATTGCAAATACCGGTATTGCGATATTTTCGCCTTTACGTATCTAGAAACCATTTTATTTTTAATAATATAGTTCAATTCAACAGACATTCAGGATAATATTTTAAGAAAGGTATACATATGAATGTTGGTGGTTACAAGGGCAGAGAAAGGCCGAAAAAGAGATGGATGGACTGTGTGAAAGATGATATGGTAAGAAAGGAAGTAAATAACGCGATGACTGCGAACAGGGATGAATGGAAGCGAAAAACATATTACGCCGACCACCAATGGGATAAGGAAGAAGCAGATGATAAGTTCATTTCGACAGACAAGAATCTCCTAAGAGTTCATGTTTGTCGAAATGAACGTGTACAAGAATTCTTCCTTGATTTTGGATTAGTCGTAGATTAGAGACTAATTTAATCTCTAATATACGCTATTACAGCACAGGGGACAAACGAACTTGTGTGTCACCTGATGATAAATGATTACTGCTGCCCATAAGAACATGTAATATCAGTGGAATTGCAAATGAGTCGCCGGCCTTTTAAGAAGGAATAAGCTCTTTCCCTGAAGGCTTCAATATCGTATCTGTTCGGAAATACCATTGCTGAAAGGTGATTCCACAATGTGGTCGTACGTGGCAAAAAGTTTCTAGAAAACAACGCTGTGGAGGACCGCCATTCGTTCAAATGATCAGGTTGATATTTTAGTTTTTGGCGGATCTGAGTTTCTCCCAGAACACAAACTCAAATCTATCTAATTTATATTAATATCTGTAACATATTTATACTGATAATTGTGTCCTCTAATATAATAAATGCGAAAGTTTGTTTGTTTAGCTAACTGACTTTTTTTAATTAATTTATATAATTTGATAGAGAGATATAATATCTTAATCCTGCCGAATGACAACCCCTAAGATACCGATATGTCCGTAATGCTGTTTATGTTTGTAGGCGTTGTTTCCCACTTACCAATATATCATTCTGATAGTTCATTTTTTATATTATGCCATCATAATATAAAAAATGAACTGGAAAATAAGGATAGGGTCCATCTGTGAATAAATGTTTACCGTAGTCTATGGACACCTGAATCACCCTTAAGAATGCTTAATATACCCTCCTTGAAAAACCCCATGCTTCCATCTCTCGAGAAAACCTCTGCAGGTAGTTTATTCCAAAATCTAAATGTACGCGGAAGGAAACTACTCTGAAACCGCACTATCTGAGACCACTTAGGTTCCAGTGTGTGGGCATGAATTCCCTGTAGATGGCGAATTCCATTCCATTTACATATATAAAAATAAAATTTATACTTACAGTATATTCTTTTGTTGCTTTACAGTTTGGCTTTCCTAAGCTATAGTCTTTGACGCAAATTCTATCAAGAAAATAAGCTGGAGGCCACAATCGGAGAACCTCTGAAAAAGAAATACGAACCTTCTGTAACATCTATTATTACTTTACTAACAACAAACCTATATATTTATTTTATTTTAATGATATTCTTTATTGCACCAAATAAAAAATTATAATAGTAAATAAACATGTATTGATACAAAAGGCAGTCTTAGCGCTAATCAATTTCTTCAATACTTACCTTTATCACATGTTCTTTTTCAACTCTATTACAAATAGCTATTTCTATTATGTACAGTGCATGCAATCTTAACGAATTCTTTTTCAAATTTATATTCATACATTACTTTTAAATGAATTTATGTTATGTTAATCTATTTTTCGTGATTCCTATGTGAAGTTTATCTTTACCTGAAACTACCATATCCATGTACGTCATCTCCTGTATTGAGTTGTAATCAAATTTGCCATTGTTCTTTATTTCATTCTCTTTTATCTCGTGTGCCAATTTCTCTTGTACATCAGCGTTTACAGCCAATTCATGAAGAGCAAACGACGTCGCTGAGGATACAGTCTCGAAGCCGGCGATGAAGAAGAGAATAGCTTGGGCTATTAAGTCATTGTCTGACCAAACTGTTTAACACAATCAATTATTTTAATAAATAATAAAAAGAAAAATAATCATTATTACTTAATCATTAATTATATATTACAGCTTCTTTATTTGACGTATTTGGTAAAGTTAATCATTAAAGCAAATTAATATGATTAATAGAAATAGTCTTTGCTAAAATAAACTTAACACAATTAGATTCAATATTTAGTTTCTTTTTATACTACCGCTCTTTAAAATCTATTAACCTATCCTAAATAGCTCAAACAAACAATTTTTGACACGCAATAATATGAATAAATTTATTTGAACATCTAAAACAAATATCGCCTTGTTTATTTTACGTTTAGTTATTTTTATGTGTAATGATAATTAATTAATACATGTACAATTCAAATTGAAAACTTCCCAAGCTGTATCTGAATAATTTGAAATTTGCAGATAATTAATAGTAAAACTATATTTACCTCTGTTTACGTCATTACGTCCAACAAATGACTCTTCCACTGTAGCGAATCCAGCATCAGCATCTTTGGCAGTTTTATTGTCATAATTTAATTGTCCTGTTGATTACAATAGTTTATTAGTAACTATTTCAAATTTATTTGTAAATTCATTGATCACATAAATTCTAATAATAGTTACTTACTACACTGCGTTCGAGTGTTTTTTCAAAATACATATTTAATGGATAAACATAGCTTATATAATATTTTATGAGATAGGTACATCACTATGTATGTAATTACCTTTCTTGGCTTCCATAAGTAGATGAATCATGTCCGGTCTAACTATATTCTGCTTCTCACGAGTTCTCATAGTAGTAAGTATCAAATTCTTGAAGAAAGTTGTAGTATTATCACTGAAATGTTTTATTCTTAGTGCCTGAAAAGTAAAACTTTCCTTTGTATTGACAAATGGAGATATTAGAAGCAACACTGCTTCTGTTGTAGCATCCTTAACACATGATATTACGAAAGTTACTTAGTAGGAGGCTTTTTATTCTATTATTATATTTGCACCGCCAACAATTATTCTCTACACTATCTATGGTTAACTATGTCTATGGCAGAAAATGTCGTATGATAATGTAATGTTCTATAGCATCACGGATATTATATCTTGTATGTCTGTATTACCCCTAATGCGTTCGTATATTTCCTGTAGACTATCTTGTTATGCTTCCATCATCTGCTTCTTCCATTCATTTGGAGTCGGCCTAATATCTTTTTCCCTTCTATTCATACCTGTCGCAGTTATATACATGCAGTTCATCCATCTCTTCTTCTTCATTCACACAGTTCATTTATATCTTTTCTGTCTCTGCCCTTATAACCCATCTACATTTATTTATAATACATTTTTTAATATATCATTTTAATTTCTATGTTTGTCTTCATTTGTTATGCCTAATGCCCGTAATTTCACTGCCTGTAATCACACTTGAAACCGGAATACAACTTACAAAGCAAGCTGCTTGTTGGCAGATTTAAGAGAGACGACTCTAGATTAGACATCCGTGTAAAAATAAATATGCATTAGATATATTATTTTCTAAAACGGAAATTTAATCCAAATTTTCATTCCATTAATAGATTTCCTCTATCTAGACTAAAATAATCTTAAAAACTTTTTTAACAAAAAACAAATCAATTACCGAAACAAGCTTTGGAAAGGAAGTGAAGAAGAATAGCTTCATTATTTTTAAAAAATCAACATTAGCCGCTTCTTTTCCGTTCTTATAGAAATCATTCTTTTCCTCCATGTGCGAGTCCACTTTAAGTCCGAAAGCACATGAAGCGATGACGTCATTGGCATATCGGGTCGTCAAATCTTTAGCCTCGACGTCGACATGACCAACTAAATAGAAAAAAGTAGCGATAACAAAGACACAGGCAAACCTAAAATCACTTATGGTCTCGGATATATAGCAATTTAGCACTACGCTTTACTTCCGACGGTCGCGGGTTCCATTCCTCGCACGACGCAAATATTTTGTATGATTGTTTGTTTTGTTCCGGATTTTTTCTATGTACATATAATACGTCCGTATTTAGAAAATAATATCTTCCTGGGTTATATTATAGGACCTTTCAGCCTCTTCATAATTTCGTCAGTCGTCATTTTTTCATCACTATCTTTACCGCCCAATTCTAACTGATCTGAATTCTTACCTGATGAATAATGTTAGATGTCTGCTATACATATGATTAGCATAGAACTAATATGTACATTGCATGGTCTACATTTGTCGGAAGTAATGTAGATATTTACGGGTGGATGTATTTTTAAAATCGATCTAGTGTTTGAGTGCTTAATATATTTCAAATAATTCTTATATATTTTAAATAATATAAAAATATCAAATAGCACCTACTTATAAAATTTAAGTTTACTCTAGTAAACTTTAGCAAATTTTAAAGAATCAATGACTTTTCAATCTAGGTTACCTGTACTGTAATAAGTGATACATACGTCCTGAATCCTTAATCTTCATCTTAAGAGCTTCTATCATCTGATTACCAACTTCTACCATAAATGGCACCATCAACCGTATCTTGGAGCTGGTGAACGCTGGACTCAAAGTTGATCGCATGTCCTTCCATTCTTGGCCTGTAAACATCAGAAGTAGTCATTTTTAACAAGGTAGACTTTGTAAACCGTCCTCTGCTTGGATCCTCTTTCTACCTATTTCAATCGCCAAGCAGCTTTAAATCAAATCAAATCAAATCAAAAATTATTCATGTAGAATATTTTGCCACTCAATGAATGAATGAACGTCAAGTTTTTTATATTAATATTTTTTCCCCACCGTCCATTCAGTATACAGATTTAATTGAGAAGAACTGGCAAGAAACTGAACTGTTGTTTTTTAAAAGTCAGTTTCTTTTAAATTGTATATTTATGTAAGGTGTCTATGTCTAACATTACATGAAAATCTCGTGCTTGAACTATTGTCAGTTAACATTTAAGTAATATTTTAATGAGTAATAGGCCTGCTTTGTAAGTTATATGATAAGGCTAAGTGAAACACGTCAGAGTAAGAACGGCAAGGCATGATTAGTATCACAGGCATCACGTGATAACGTGATATCCATAGTGCTGTTCATTTGTAACATCCGATAGGTAATCAATACTCAAATAGACTATTGCTATTGAGTAAAGACAATATATGCATCATGACTAGGGCACTGCAAATTGACTGAAACACGTGGCAAAATTAGGCCTCAGCTTAACAACAATCTGCAGAATCTGCCAAGCAGAAGAGGAAACGCCACTACATATCCTATGTGGTTGTAGCCCACTCGTGCATAAGCGAAATATCTCGTTTGGAAAGTTTACACTACACCCTGAGAAGATGAAAACCATCGCTCCTAAGAATATCCTTCAATTCTTGTCCCTGACGGTTCTACGTAGCGAACTTTGAAAAAAGGGCGAGCATGATTGATCTATGTAGGTCGCAGTTGTACAGGTCCAAGGGCCTGACAATAGCCCAAACCCCTTTAATAGAAAAAAATAGAATGGCGCTCAAATATGTGCTGGTACCATACTACAGTAATCGTGAATATGGTGATAGGATGAGCACAAAGTCAAGTCAGACCATTATGACGAATTTATAAAGAATGGTTACTTTTACGATGGCTTCTAGAAGAGACCGCATGGAGGTGAACAAAACCCTTAATAAAAAAATACGTCATACTATCTTCTAGGCCGTTAGCTTGTATTTCCATGCCAATTATATAAAATAATACGAAGTGAAGAAATCATAAACGAGAATTGAAAAAAAAATCTGGTAACCTTTGAGTGCTATTAAGTGTCTTCCCATTAATGGGTCCACGGTTTCATCCACGAACTTTTGGTGATCTATAAAATATTCGAAATCCTTGATAGTTATTTTCTTTATCAGTTCAATGTCCCTCACTATTATTTTCGGTTTCAGGAACTCGTAGATTCCCACAAATCTAAAAATTGAATATATATATAAACAGAAATATACTATTTAGTAGATGATGATACATATATAGTACATTTTATTCATTTACACAAAACCACCCGCAATATTTATTTATTTATTTCTGCTCATAAATATGCATAACAACAAATAGATGTTGTATTTTTGGATGACATATATGTACCTAATACTATATACTTATTACTATATATATATGAAATAAAATTTCTTTATTGTTCTCATGACCATTATATGTATAAATGTATAGATTTCACTAATAACTCTTCCTGACTCTTATTAATATAGAATCAAGTCTTAACTTTAATAAGGGGCGGTGATTAACTACATTAAAGGGACTCAGAAATAATTATTAATTAAACTAGTAATTAACTTTATTAATTAAAAATACTCAAATTTAAACCGAGTCAAAAGCCTATAATTAGAATAAACGTAGAATAAATTGATAAATAAGCTTATACGAAGTTCAGTATAGCATCGATCAATTTAAATTGATATATATATACAAACCTCTCATCTTTAAAGTTGTCATAGTTCCTTTTGATAAAATTTGAAAAGTGATCGAGCCTCAATATAGTACTGCCCATGTTGCCCAGGAATGGGACAGGCTGGAAGTGTTTCACCCCAAACTTGGAGAACTTGGAGTACAACTGACGAAAGTACAGCGCTAAGGCTGTGAGAATCACCACAGACCAGACAAGGTAAATCATGACCTAAAAATATTAATATAAAATTTATTTTTATTTATATTAGGCAGTTTAATGCATGTTATAGGGGGGAAGATAATATGGATCGAAGACCCCATTGCTAGCAATGTACGCTGTCAGTTTGACCTTCAGTTCCCCCTGGAAACTATCCTGATACATTTTTGGTGAATTTGTCACGATGTGCTACCTGACCTGACCTCATATTCATTCTGTCATCCTCCACTGGTGCCCAGCCAGCTTAAACCATTAGCACAGACGGGTGCATCATTCCATCATCATGCACTAAAAATATATGCATGTTATGCATATTAGCTGACCCCGCAAACGCTGTGTTGCTATATGAATTAAAATTGCTATTAAAAATAGGAGTTGGAGATAGAAGGGTGAAAATTTAGGTTTGTATGTATTTTTTAATGCCACATTACAAGATAATAAAAAACTAAAAGTTAGGGGTCGGGTCCCTTATCTTAGGGGTAAAATAGATAGTAGCCGATTTTTAGACCTAGTGAATATGCATATAAAATTTTATAAAAATCTATCGAACCGTTTCGGAGAAATATGGTAACTAGACTAGACAAGACTAACATACATTATATATAAAAAACAATAAAAATGGCTACTTTAATCTAATCACAATAAAAAAATAATAAACTGAAGTTTTATCACGACTTACTAAGTTTTTTTTCACTATCGAGTTTCACATCTATTTCTGTACAAACGAACTTATTCAATATTACGTATTCTTCTATAACATTAAGCACTAGACGTTATTGCCCTTATATTCACATTGCGTGACAAAACGATCGAGTGTTTTATATATATTATGAAGTTCAATATGATTAGATATGAATATCAGATATCTGCTTCAATCTTATATTTATACAATACAATCTGTAATGTACATTTTGTCTGTATATAAAATAAAAAGATACCTATTGACCGTCATCTTAGATAATGTGTTATAGTATAATTGTCACAGCATATGCTATAAATGATGTAGTGGAGTAACTTGAAGCAGTTATGCTTGCTATAATTATAATCTCAGGATAATTCACATAGCGCCAACTAGACCTAAGTTAAGCTAGCTAAAGCTTGTGTTATGTGTACTGGATAACTGACACATAGATATATATATTTTTTGTAAATTTATACAGAAAATACACCCAGAGAAACAATCATACTAATGAATAAATCATAATAATGAATACAAATTTGTGAATGCGAGGAATTGAACCCGCGGCAATCAGAAGCAAGGCGTTGTGCTAAACCGCTAGACCAAGAGATAACGAGGCTCTCAAAATAAAATAAACAAAAAATCAAACTTGAGGCCGCATGGTGGGCCGGGTCAATGTGTGCTCTCTAATAAGGTTGAGTGCAATGATGGCTGGCTCATCCGTCTACGTCCGTCGTCGTTCTTCTTCGACCAGATACAAACCTACGTTCTTTCGGAAGAAATAACTACTAGGTCATGAAGCGTCATCATTACATAGTATAAAACAAAGTCGCTGTCGCTGTCGCTGTCTGTCCCTATGTATGCTTAAATCTTTAAAACTACGCAACGGATTTTGAAACAGGTTTTTTAATAGATATACTGATTCAAAAGGAAGATATACATGTATTATATATATAATACATGTACATGCGAAGCCAGGCCGAGTAGCTAGTGTATGATATATAGTTCGGTAAATGCCGATACTCTAATATATGGCAAGCGAATTCAGTGGCAGAAACTAAATAAAAATAACAACAAGTCATTAATTATGAATACATTTTAATCATGATGACTTGTAAGAACGATATTGTTTAAATGGGTATTATTCCATAAGTAAATCATTAATGTCCAGATAGTAATGTTGTAACAACACTAGCCATATTTTTTTACTACGAAATAATAATAATAATAACCCTAGACTATTCTCACAGCGTTATCTCACAGACCCAATTTAACCAAAGGTTTGGGTACTAGACAACTTATACAAGTTGTACTTAGATACAAAAATAATGTGTCAAAAAGAAACAAGAAAACATTACATTCAAGAAATGAAACCAAAAATGCAGCCTATAAGTTCGCCAGCCAACTGCCTTTCTCTGACTCAAGTAGGGAGCGAACGAACTAAAAGATCGAACTAACGCAGTTCACAAGAACTCTACGAACTAAATGAAATGATCCGTGTCGAGAACTGTTCGCGCAAGACTAATATATGTAATGGCTGGCTAAAGCTAGCTGGCTAAAGATGGCTGTAAATCTAGGTACCAATATCTCGGAAAATAAGTTGGTACCACCCAACGGCAACTCTATCATAGCACGGCTCATTGGTCAAATCAAATAGCACCGCTTTCCGGCTTACTGCTACAGACTGCGACTTCCACAGACTGCCGGAAATTTAAAGGAAATGTGTGGTAGTAGTAATATATTTTATCTACAAATGGAAAGGCATAGGTACAAGACTGTACAGCCAAATCTAATGTAATATTTCATTAAGCAATTCTGAATTCATGAAGGAGGATATACTCTCTTCATAAGTGAATGTAAAATTATATTACGGGTGTCATTAATATAAACCTTCTATAATTCTCCAATTGTTGTTATGATTGCATAAATTGGCTTGAAAGTACCAAATTCCTTGAGTTTTTCCTAAAGTGATGACGGTAAAATACGATATTTTTACATAGTACAAAAAAAGGCGCCGCTACTATCTGTTATATTTTTTAAATTACGCAACTGATTATAATGCAGTTTTCAGCAATAGATAGAGTGATTTAAGAGGAAGGTTTATATGTATAATACATGTGTGTTATAGTACAGAACAAACAAAGATTTTTTTTAAAGATTTGTAATGCATAGTACGTAGCCGCGATAGATCGCTAGTAATAGCTACATAAAGGTTAGTAATGAGTAAATTAATTTTGATATTTAGAACCAAACATTAAAAATATGTTGGTTCTAATTTATGATTTATGTATTTTGAGCATAAAGTACAGATTGGGGAAACAGTTATCTTAATTCGGTGTAAATGACCATTAAATTTACTATATTTGTTTAACAAAACTTCTCTTTAATAGTTTCCCTTAAAATATTCCTATTGTAAAACAGGTGTAAGTGATGCATTCTATAAATAAGATTTTTTTTTATCTCAGGACTATTCATACATCTCTAATGTATGTATTTAACCAATGTATGGTATGTCTTTAACCAATATACTTTCTATCTCGATATATACATATATATGAGTTATGAATTTTTGAAATAAAGGACCTAAAATAATTTTTTCAAAATTGGATTTTTCAAGTTACGATAATTCCGCTTTCTTCCGTCGATATACAAAACATATTGATGTTATCATAAACTTCATTCAAATCGAACAGCCGCAGAGCATTAACCTATACTGCTTATTATTCTGTCAATGTCAGAATGAGATAAAAGAACATAGACATCTCAATAATCGGCTATTACTTTTCTAAAACATTTTCGACAGATGATGTTTGTTCTGAACAATTTTTGTGTATTTGCAGGCCATTTTCACGTCAACAACTTGCCTCGAACAAGAAAGTCTGTTACACGATACGTAGGGAAATTCATAACTGTTCAACTTTTTTAGGATTCATATTGAATTCTAATTGAATATATTGGTATACCAAATTATTCATGACTAGCGTGCGCCCTGGCTCTGCAAGGGTATTTATTAATAACAATTGTGTATACATAGAACTTTTCAAAAGTCTTATTTTTTCTACCACTATTTTGGAGCGCAGACTCATTAAAAGAATGAGCATAATATTATACATTAATACTAGCTGTAACCGCGGTTTTATCCGCATGAAATTTATAGCCTATATATTATTCTGATGTATGACCTATATTACTGCAAAATTTCATCAAAATCGGTTTAGTCGTGAAAGAGTAACAAACATCCGCCCATCCTCAGAAAATTTCGCGTTTATAATATTAACAAGATTACATCAGTTCAGAACCCTCGCCCCATAATTCGGACTTGCGCTTAACCGACTTTATTTTATATTATATTCATATAAAACGACCCACATCAAAACTAGAATATATATACAAATATATACAATGTTTTAAAAGTTCCTTCAGTCTACCTTATACCTATGTACTCTTTATTGTATTTTAATTTTCATGTAACCGCATTCTCCCCTATTTTAGCCGTCAAGCACATTGCTTTTAAGAGCTATTTCGGTTAAAGGGTGAAAAAAATTTATTAAAAACTACTAGTTCATGTAGAACTTAATTCTCTGAAATGGGGGAAAGGAGATTTAGTTAGTAATGTGCACTAATAATGCCATTGCTAGCTATATAGTATGTTTGATTGACCTCCACGCGGTTCACCCTGGAAAATATAGTGATACATTTCCAGTGAATTTGCTACGATGACCTGACTGACCTGACCTCATGTTCATCTTATCATCCTCCATTCCAGGGGCTCCGCTAGCGTGAACCGTTATTACAGGTGTGTGCAGTATACCATTATCACCCATTACAAGAAAAATTCCACAGAAATGGCAACGCATGAAAGGTAAACCCAAAAAATAATTAAAATTTGACTGAAACCCGCGAGGCATGTCTAAAGTAGAATTATATTTCTTGTATAGAATAGAATAGAAAATCATTTATTCAAATAAACTTAATTTAAGCATTTTTGAATAGTCAACATTTTTTTTTAATCTACCGCTTATTCGGAATGCTGTCTCATCACAAGAAGAATAAGCAAGAAAGTTGTGTGTTGTTCTTTTAAACAATCCTTGTAAGTTCACATTTTACAAGTCGAAACATGTGAATACAAACTACCAATTAATTTATTTAGGCTCAAATATAAGAACATAATTAGATTAAATCAGTCGTAGTGATAAGATAGATATAGTATTGTAGATGGTATCATTGATAAAAATACGTTTTTCTTTTAAATAATATTATAATATACAACAATGATATCCCTAGTGAATTCACACAGCGCCAATTAGTCCCAAGCTAAGCAGAGTTTATG